ATACACTATAAATTTCTTTCCATGAAGATAATGACGGAAATGTTTAACTGCATTAAATACGGCTAGCGTCTCCAACTCGTACGAGTGATACTTGGATTCCGTACTGGTTGTGCACTTGCTATAATACTCGACTACCCTTGTTTTGCCTTCTACTTTTTGCATAAGTATTGCTCCATAGCCTTCTGAGCTCGCATCAGTGTGCAGCTCTATGGGATACTGTGGATCAAAAATGATCAAAACCGGCTCGTTAGTTAATATGGTAATAATCTTTTGACGTATACACTCGTGTTCTGGCTTCCAATGGAAGCTACCATTCTTGGAGGTGAGGTGATATAGTGGCTTCATTTGCTCTGAAAATTGTGGCACAAATTGTCGAAAGTATGATGCCAAACCTATAAATTGCCTCAGCTGTGTAACTGATTGCGGTTGTGATAACGCTGCCAAGACATGTATCTTCCGAGAATTAGGTTTAATTTGACCATCTTCGACTTGATAACCCAAATATTCAACATTAGGTTTGAGGAATGTGCATTTCTTTACATTGAAAGAAAATCCGGCGTTGGTCAGAAGTTCCAATACCACCTTTAATCTATGAAATGCCTCTTCTTTAGTGCCTGCTACAATCAAAACATCATCGATGTAAACAATGGCATACGAGTATGCCAGCTCACCCAAGGCACGTGTTATTGCTCGCTGAAATACCGATGAGGCGTTCTTTAACCCGAAGGGCATGGATAAGAATTCGTATTGACCCTCAGCTGTTACAAATGCCGTACGTTCAATTGAGTCAGCATGTATGGGAACCTGGTAAAATCCGCTAGCCATGTCTAAACTTGAAAAATATTTTCCTTCTCGCAGTCTGTTGATTTGATCCGATATCAACGGCAGTGGATATTTGTCTGCTATAGTATTGGCATTTAACTCTCGATAATCAATGCATAGGCGGTCACTGCCATCTTTCTTTTTAACTAGCAGCATCGGACTGGCAAACGGAGAACAGCTCGGACGTATTACATTAGCTTTTAACAGCTCTTTTATTTGTTTCCTCACTATTTCTCTCTCATCTGCGCTAAGTCTATATGGACGCCTTTGCACGATTTTGTTTGGATCTATCAAACGAATTTCTAGTTCACCTGTTGTTACACGACTCTTTGGTATGCCACTTATAAATCTTTCAGCATAATGTTGCCATATTTCTATCAATTTATTTCTGTCTTCATCACTTAATTCTTCATCATTATTTAAATGTTCTAGATAGCACCTATTTGTTGTATCTGAAACAATGTTGACAGCCTTTGTTTTATAAATACTGAACTTTTCAGCGTCCATGGCAACGCCGAAGCCAAGGCTCAAAATTTCACGACCAACCATTACATTGTGCTTTAAAAACTTATCCAATACTACATGAAATAATATTTCCAGAGTATGCTCACATATTTGAACAGTCGTATGAATTTGTAAATTACTATACACGGAATTTTCACCAATGCCTTTCAGCATAACTGTACTGAAAATTCTCTTTCCAGCAAATTTATTTGCCATTTTCTCTTTTATCAAAGAGCACTCGGCGCCCGAGTCAAAGAAGAATGGAATGAGCTCACCAAATTGCAACAATAGTCCCGTTGGTTCCATTACTGTGCAGACATCTACTCGCTTCTCTTGTATGTTGCTTTTGCTCGCTGCTTCTAGTCCCCGTGTGCACATCGTTGAAATGTGGCCAGTCTTGCCACATTTAAAACACGTCACTGCGCCTCGCTCTCTCGCTGTTGCTGAATTGCTTTGCATCTGGTTTGTTCTCGGTGCATTTCTCTCGTCCATTTTCCTCTTGCGGCATTCTGCCATTTTGTGTCCAGGTTTTTCACAATAATGGCATTTCATAATAGAAGACGACTTGTACCTTTTCTTCTCGGGGCCAGATGTGTGTTCCGAAGTGATTTGCACGTTGCGTTTACCAAAAGCGTATGCTTTCAACTGCTGCTGGAGCTCGCTTCGTGTTTTGATGTTCGTTGTAAACGCCATACGCTGCAGCCTCGTATCAATTTGCGAGGTATGTGCCAGCACGAACGAGACTGCTATTTCTTCTGCGCTCATTTGCTTCCATTTCGTCATTAGTGACGTCACCAATCTGCTTGCATACACCGATAGACACTCGTTTGCGTTCGGTCGGCCGTTAAGAATGTTTAAGAAAATGGCGGCTGGCGTCTCTATACCCTCGTATCGCTGCAGAAACAATTCCTTAAATTCAAGCCAGGTTATTCCAGCATAGCAAATCTGGGACAACCACTGCGATGCGCCTCCATTTAGGGAGCTGCTAAGTGCGATGACCAATGCACTACCTTCTAAGGGATTTTCGGACATTATCATGTCTGCTGTTTTACACCATGCAGACGCGTCCGCGCTCGTGTCGTCAGGGTCGAACTTTGGCAACACAATTATTTTTTCTTTATGAGACTCTGCATATGGCACTTGCATAACTTTTATCAATTCCATAAAATTACGATTCTGTGACTCAAACAGAGTTCGCCAATCATTGTCAGAATGTCTTTGGGGCGAGGCCGATCCCACTTCTGATGTCGGAGAAGGGTTGGATAATTCGCGCGGCGTGACGCGCTGTTCGGCCATTTTCTTTACGTGAGCACAGCAATTCGCACTGGTAGTGTTGCCTTTGACTTCTTGAAGCAGACTGACTTGCATCACTGCTCTCTCGAGGCTCGTTGTCTTACTCGTTCTACTCTTCCTTTTTGTTCTTTGACATTTCCTTTTCTCAACTGCCTAGACAACAACAATGCGCTTTGCTCGGCTAAGGCAATATTTGCTCTTAAACCCTGCTCTTATTATAGCCTGCAAGCCGATCACATGACACATTCTCTTTGTATTTGTTTTACACACAACATCATTTAATGATTTACATTTCTTTATTTAGTGTTATTCTTCTACATATACAACAATATATATATATATATGTAATCGAACGAAGAAATGGTAATTTTTTCTTAATAATAATTATAATAATATTGAAAAACCAGAAAACAACCACAACAATAAATATCATTCGTAAAATGAAATATAATTTGTATTGATTTCGAAAAACTGACAAACCATCTCGGGCGGGCACTTTCTACCATTTGTTACCAAGTTTGGAGGTTTTCCCTGTGACAAAGCCTCGAACTGGTTGCCATCATGGATCTAAGTGTGCTTTTGTTTTTGGTTATCTGAAAAACCTATCTCACTATTTACTATCCAATTTTTTAAAGAAACGATTTAAAAAGTATTTAAGCAAACTAAAGAAGCTATTACAATTTCCTTTTATTATATAATAATTATGTATAGAAAATTTTAGCTATTAGATAATTGCAGAACGCAGTACTCAACGCTCGAAGAAAATCCTCTGGCTTCCAATCTTTGCTCCAAGTTTTTTCAAACTTTATATGTAAGTTATCTTTATCTAAGTTATTCCTTCCAGTTTATTAAATTGTGTTCTACCATATACTTTTATCTTTTTGTCTTAAAAGCAGTTCCTGATGAGGTTCCTAGAGCTAGAATCTACAATGAATACTTTTTTTATAGCCTGAAATACTCCCATTTGTTTGGAACAAGTCACTAATGGAGGATTGCTCCAGATCTACTTTAACCAACTATTGTTATTTTGCTAAGCTGCTAATACCATTAAAATTTTAATATCATCACAACAATATCTATTAAAGATCGAAATCAGTTGCTGGTTTCGATTCCAATATTCAAAGTAATTGCAGTTTTGTTCCTACGAGCTTGGAATATAATAAAGAGTGGACACACTTTTTCGCAAAATATGTACACACTTTTAAACCACCCCCAAATTACTACAAATTTTGGAGAGCTATGCATCCTGACAGTTTACACTCACGACGCACTAACGGCTTTCCACTATCAAATATAGTCACCTCTAAAATTGACGATATATTTCTGACTGTTTTGAGAAGCAAACTATTAAGATAAAATAAAATTGGGTGCAAATTATTGCGATGCAGAGCTCTAGTATCTAACACTTAGCTACTTCTTCTATATCTAGCTTGCTCCTTAATTATTCAGAATGTATTGGATAAGATCTGATTATATTTATGAATGACTAAAATCAAATTTTGATGAGTTTTTTTTTTAATATTTACTTTATTCAACATCGGATTAAAAAGTGAACTTTTACAGTAAAAGGTATAAATCTATTTTGGTTTTTGAACCTTAAACTCAACGTTACGTACATGGGAAGTTCGCGTTTTTTGATTCCTGTTGCTGACTGTGATGATTCGATTCCCACACACCGTCCACATTAAAAAGGAGGCGATGTCAATCTAGTAGACCGAATATGCACCATGCTGTACATAATACACAGAGGTAGGCGTCGCGACGGATTCCCAAGGATTCCTCCAAAGAAATTGAAGTTCCGTTCGAAGCCCGTGGGATGCCGTTTCGAGACCCAAGCAGTGGATTTGTTCTAAGTAAGAGTATAAGCATGTTGGGGTTAAGTCCGAATACTAAACAATCAACGACGGATTAAATGGGAATTATAAATAATAGTGTTGTCGAACTCGTACATTACTTTGATGCATCGAATAACTGCGTGCCTTAATGACCTTCAATATGATGTGTATGTAGTATATGAGTTCGTTCGTTCGTCTTGTACTCGCCATATCCTTTCCAAAAGACACCTCAGCATTAATCTCTGTTTACAAATTTGGTTCACATCTAAACATATTTAATTAATAATTTTGCATTGTAATGTTTATTGCAAGTTTAACACAGAAATACACGTACATATTCACAAATACATGAAATTCGAAAAGTTTGGTAATAAAATTTGGAATAAGAATTATGCGCTGTATTTTTAGATGGCTACGATAAATAAAGTCCCACCTATGAACCGAACCGTTCACAAACAAAATTGAAGCAATTTGGAAATGAGAAGAAATAGAAACGTTTCCAATTAGGAAGGCTTCCAGAATGCAAATTGGAATACAAAACTTTTGGAAAGGTTATGTAAAGCTTCGAGCATCCGAAGTTGCGGTTGATTTTTATTATATTTCTCATTCGTTTTTCTTTAACATTTTATTATTGTCATTGAAATAGTTAACATTCATATAATTATTTGTTTATGTATAATTGTACACACATATAGAATTCATTATGTACCTATATAATGTTCTCATCATCTGCAGTTAGGTGCGAAAAACAAAATCAACAAAACATCGTTGGTGTTTGTTTGGGGAAGGAGCTCGGGGGTCCCATTTCAGCTGCCAAAACTTTTGGGTGGATTTCATCAGATTCTTATTGAAATTATAAACAAAATTAATGAAAATGCCTTGGAACTACATATAATAATGGCTTCATTATATCGTATCGTATATTCTAGTATCTAGTATGTTTACATATACAAATACAGAGAGAGTTCAATTATAAATTAGCATTAAAACAAATTAAATAAAAATCAACTCAAACTGTTCTCCATTTGAACACACAACATTCGAAAACAAAAAAGACAAAGAGTTGTGGGTTGTGTGCCCCATGGAGAGGAACAAATGCCAACAAGCCAGCGCATATTGTTGCTTAAAACCTAGTCTTATCAAACGGACTAGGTTGGGCTTTATAAATCAAACATATAGTATAAATATAAATAGATTCTTTTAACATAAGAAAAATATCAAATCACATTTGCATAGAAACAAAACAAAATAAAAGAAAAAATATATGTATATATAGATAGATAATAAAAAAAAAGGCGCGCCCTAAAGTTTCGACTAAAGTCTAACAATCGTCAACGTGTGTGTCAACTTGCAAACTAATATCATGAGCTAAACTAAAAACGCAGCCATAATTATTTATCGTGTGCTATATAATATTATGTATGTTATGTGTCGTCGGTAATCGTATGTGTCGCGACTATCATATATGTGTCTATAGTAGATGCTAGAAATTGATTCCAATGCGTTAACAACTGCGCTCTTCTATCGCCGGCCGCTAATTATTATAACTATAAACATAATTATGTTAATTATGTACGCATGCAGGCAGGTCTTGACAAGTTCTTATTGTATGTCTAAGCACATCGCTTGTACATTGTTCATTTATTTATTTATATTAGCCGTTTGTTTTTACAACATACACACGTAACTGTTTTGTTTATATTTGCAACGATACATAAAATGATTTTTACATAATTTAATCAATTTTAAGAAAAATTTCAATTCGACTTTTTGCTTTTCCTTTCACCTACTCTTTTCTTCTCTTTCTTTCTTTCATACTATTCGCATGCGTTTGGTTGGTTCATACAAAAAGAATGTATATATATATATATATATAGTCATATATATATTTTTATATATTTAAACGCACATTTAGTAAAACATTTAGAATATAACAAAAAGCTGCTTTGCGCATGTTTCACAGGATTTTTGTTGTTATGGTTGTTATGGTTGCTGTTATTGTTGTTCTTGTTCGTGGTGTTATTATTGTTGTTGTTGTGTAGTTGATTTTCTTTTATTGTTTTGCATTTGAATGGCCCAGCGACCAGCCTGTGCCCGATGTGCAACACCATCGACCGCCTTCGTCGGTATTATCGTCAGAGAGACCGCTTAGATGGGCACATAGTTGCCCTTCGGCTTGTAGAAGAGTTGACCGCGGAACGCACGACGACGGATCTCAGCAGCGAGTAGACGTTTCTCCTTCTGAATCTTCTTCAACACACCCTTGTTCTCCTGAGCACGACGCGACAAGTAGGGCAGCACCTCCTCGACTGGGCCGTACGGTATGTACTTATAGGCCGAGTAGCCGGCTTGACCTGCGAACAGAAAAATATATAACCATTTGAGTTATAGACGCCCATCATTCATGATTATAAAAAGCACCCGAAATGGGGGGGCACTTAACTCACCCAAGGGAAATGTGATGTAATCACACATGCCCAGCAATTGACCAAAACAAATCACTTTATCCTCTGGCGAGATTCCGATCTCCTTCATCTTCTCAATAGCGAAGCGCACCGTGTCCTCGTTATGCGAGGCAACCATGATGCCAATCTTCTTGGCATCCTCACCGCTATCCTTAAAGAGCTGCATGGAAAATGTGATTACTTTCGTTGTATAATCGAGACGGGATAAGAGTCCTGCCTACCTTGATGCGTCGCAAGCACTCGGTCAGTGTCTTGTGGTACATCTCTGTGGTGGCTTCGTAATTTGGATTCACGGGATCGGAATAGCCCAAGGCCTGAGCACGTGCCCGCTCCTGTTCCATGTAGGCGCCGCGCACCAGCTTAGCGCCAAAGTAGAAGTTCTGGCGCTTGGCCTGCTCCAAGTCGGTGCCGACCTAAGAACGACGATCAGATCAACGCAAAGATCAAGGAAAGTTAGTCAAGGATGTCAGGAGTATGCATACCTCACGGAAGGATTCACGCAAGTAGCACTGGTAGGTATTGAAAACGATGGCCTTCTCTTTGTTATATTTACGCATCATTTCGAGCGTAATGCGTGAGATAGCAGGCTGAAAGTATGTCTGTTCAGCATCGATCATAATGCGTACATCCAGCTCTGCAGCAGTCTGTGAATCGAAATAGATCGAAATAGCTGTAGTGACTGACTGACTGAATAAGTGGGCTCACTTTTTCTCACCTTTACAATTGTGTTTAGGCGACGAATCATGTTCCTAAACATCTCCTCTTCTTTGGGCGGTATCTGTGAGATCAGTCGACGCATTTGACCCGTCTGTGGATCGGGCACACGGAAAGTATCGCTCAATTGAGAGTTCTCGTCCACAATGCCCGACCAGGGAAACAGATGCAATATGCTATAAAAAAAAGAGTGGAATATATAAAAATATATAACGATTATGCAAACCAGTTTAAAGCTGTCTTGAAGTAAGAAAGAATTGGTTCAAAGCACTTAATATTTGTTCGGAATGGAGTCCGAATCGAAAGTGATTCAGAGACGTACGTACATGTCTCAGAAATCTTAAAGATGTGTTCAGATTTTGTTTCGAAACGGCACTACGTAGCTATAATAATAATTATGTGTAACTACTACTTACCCCTCCTTGTCAGAAGTCACATTCTTCAAGAATTCCTGCACGTCCTTGTTGTCGCCAACGCTAGCATAATACTTCTCGAGATCTTTGATGGTCTTGTGATGGGTGAGCACATTGCCTTGACCGCCAACAAGATCCTCCATATATTTACGTGTGCGCATAATAACCTCAGAGAGTTGAAGCTGTTACGTTTGACGAGAAATAAATTAGTGTTTTTGGTTTATTACACAAACACATACGACACTAGGACGATAATAATCCTACGGAGGAGGACGACAACGACAACGACACTTACCAGCAGCTGTGGACGGCCCAGAGCAGTCAGTTTAATGGCCGTAATGCCCGTGCCGAATGTAGCACCTGTCGGATGGTGAATCGACATTTGAAATGAATGAAGCATTTAAGAGAGGATCGATGAAGCACAATGATGAATGAATATGGAATATAGATGATTGTGAGTAGGAGAGTTTATCTTGATATCTTTGCATGCAATAATGTACAGTTACACACACACACACACACAGTCACAGACACACTACTACTACTACTACTAATTCTAATACTACTTCTACACATACATACACGTATATATACATACATATATGGGCTCCGATCAAAAAGCTACAATATATATAAAACAATAGAAATCATCTGCTTAGCCCACCATGCGGCTCAATGTTCAAAATAAGTGTTTTTGTTTTTCATTTTGGATTGATTGTTTTGGTTTTTAGATTATTACTTTTTACTGGATTTTGTTTTGAACACGCTTACCCAAGGCCACGGCACGGGGCACTTTAGCATCGTCAACTTGAAACGGAATTATATATGGAACCAGCGGTTTTGCAAAGTTGGTTTCAGTTTCGGTTTCGGTTTCGATTTCGGTATTTTGTTTTGGGTTAGTTAGTTTGCATTTGGGTTAGTTTGTATGGTTCGATTGGATTCGATTGGATTGATTCATTGATTGATGCCCCGTTTGACCAAATTGATTGTAGCCGTTTGTTTGAAGCGAAACGGTAACAAAATGTATGTGAAAAAGAAATTCATTTAAAATAATTATTAAATAAATTAAATCAAAATAATTATCATCTATACAATATACAACAATATACAATATTAAAACAGCTCTTTCAGGCAAGCCACAAGCTTAAATGTTAAACCCAACTACTTACTATATATCCCGCAATGAACAGAACAGCTTACTTTTCAAATCAAACCTTTTATTTACGCATTCATAACGCTTAGTTGGTCCCGCCAATGATACTAGAAAAGAGTTCTATAAACCGTTTATCAACTAGAAGTATTATAGTTGTTTAAAGGACTGTACTGTTCTTCTTCAAGTTTATTGTAAAAACTGGTTTTCTTTAAAAAAAAAAAAAAAAAACAAACCATATAGTTTCAAAAATAGTTTTACAACTACTAATTCCGTTCCGAATTTCAAATCTAATATATCATTTTTATATTATTTTCCTATAACTTTAACTTCACAAACATAATTTAAATTCTCCATGAAACGAACTGAAAGCCCAAAAATTCCAATTGTCTTTAAAGACAAATGGAAATGAAACCCTAACATCTTTCTTCTGAGTCATATTATTAACGACTGGTACTTCACATCATGCTGTTGCTATTTAATTGAAAGTATTGGAAGAACTTTGCAATGGGAATTGTGTATGAACTCAAGACCAACTCGCGAAATAATAAAAAGCATTCGTGCGACTTTTATGGAGATAGCCTATATATCATGCTATCCTTACTATTGAAAGTAGGCTTAGCTTTTGGGCTATTATATATTTGACTTTAGAAAAGACCTCGAAAACAACAGATGACGAATTAACATAGCCCCATTTGTGAAAAAACGATAACAGTGTGATGAAAACAAAACATAATGGGCTTAAATCATAAAACACCTTCTCATACATACTTCGAAAAGAATTTTGAATGAATAGCTAACTGCTAAAAACTAAAGACAAACAGCAAAAACATTTCACATTAGCAGAAAGGTTTGGGTGCAGATTTAAGTGCTGATGCAGGTATGTACAATATATACGTATATGGGATCGCTGGGAGCGGCTAGAAGCTGATACAAGACTCTATGCTGTGACATAAAGTGCACTCACCCGAAACCGCCTCGAGGCATTTTATGAAGGTCTCCATGTTGCGCTCACAGGTAGCCTCATTCAGATAGAAGTAGGTGCGAGCGCTGCTAACCTTGTAGCGTCGATCGGCAAAGGACTTATCGACATGATACTGCGGCATGGTGCCGTCATCTTTAACATCGCCAGCACTCGAAACTGAAGATCTAAATTTGGAATTGCACAAAATATACTCGATTAGTATGACTAATATGAGAAAAAATTGGGACTTGCGGCACTTACTCGACTTCACGCTTCTCCGCCTCCTCCTGTGAGATATCCTCTTCAACGGAATAGTCAAGAATTGGCTTTACACCAAACGATCGCAATCTGTTATCGAATATTTGAGAGAGCAGTTCATGTGTATTAGAGAGAGCTTTCTTTGACTTTTCTTTTCATAAGTGAGGTTAATTGGATATTCCATAAACAAAGATTTGGTTCAATTTAAAAAAATTAACATAAAAGAAATTAGATTTGGAAAATAAACTAAAGATCTGCTCCTCTGAAAGTAGAACTTATAGAATATATCTTTAAATTGTCGATTCTTTTTGTGTTAATTGTATTGTGCTCTCTTTTTCAATATTTAAACATTTTATTTCAAAACTTTTGAAATCTCATTAGGATAAGTAGAGCGCAGATATCTTCTGTTAATTTTGGGGCTGCTTTATGATGTTGATGTTGTCTTTAAAGGGAGTTTGCGTTTCTCGCATTGAATCGCACTTTTCGTTATCGATTCAAATTCAAGCTGTGCAATCGAAATGGCGACAGTGTTCACCAATATGCAAACATATATATACTAGAATGTAGTGCTTGGACCAGTGTTTAACAACTGCCTGTATTACAAGTGTCCAAAAAACGGTTTCAACAGTAAATCTGAAGCTTATTCGATTTAATCATAAGTTCTACCTCTCGCGGAACAGACCTTGCATGCTAAAAGCTGTTGCAAGTGTAGTGTTGCGTTAGATCTCACAAATATTGAGTATAGAGGTATACAGATAGGCATATATGTTAGTTATATGTTTCAAAAACAAGGAAGAATTAATCAAGCAATATTATGGAACTCGAAATTGTTCGCTTTAGCATAGGCTGTGCTACTCGTATGAGGGAGGCATGTAATTATGTAAATATGACTGGACGGTATGTGGAGTGCGTTTTCGAAAACTTCTGGGCTTCATTTGATGTTATTTAATTGCGGTATAGTTGCGGTTGTGTTGTTAGAGCTCAGGGGTCCAATTCATGCGACATGCCAGGATAATGCACACACACACACAATGGGTGCGTAGGGATTGTGTATAAGGATTAGTAATTAGCTGCGATCGTGTGTGATTTAATTGGAATTTGGGTGGTAGCATTGTTTATGGAACGTTGAAGCACCTTTCCAGCGTGGGCACAATAGTGTGACGATTCTCGCCAGCCACGAAGTGTCCGTAGAAGCTCGACTTCATTAGCAGCTCGAAGAGTCGGCCGCCCAGCAGTGTGCGGGCAACTTTCATAAGCTATTTGGTGGATTGTGGTTGGTTGTTTGATTGGTTGGTTGGTTGGTTTGTTGTTGGTGTGGAAAAACAAAACGCCGAACGCAAAATAAACGATAATTTTTCATTTGATTTGTTTGTGTGGGCGTAAGGGCGTAAGTGGGCGTGGTTCAATCGGTCGGCGATTTCATTCAAGTGTCGTGGAGGGTTGTAAGCGGTTTATATATTGATTGTGTTTCGATTTGAAGTATTTGTCGTTTTGTTGTTGTTGTTTTCAATAGCAATATATATACATATACATATATATATAAAAATCAAACATTATTTAAACCGCATCGGAATCGTTCAAACAAACATTGCAAGCGCAAGATGTGTTCGTTGTTGTTGTTGTTTTTGATTTTATTGGTTTTTATGTAGAGAAGCCGTCGGCAGGTAAATAATAATAAATATTTATAGCACACACAAATGAAAAGAGAAAAGAAGAAAGAAAAGAAAAGAAAAGAAAAAGAAAAGAACAAAAAAGAGGGTATAAATGACTTGGTACCGTTTTGCATTTACCTTTCGAGTGTGGGTATGATCTTGATTTGATCCTCGCCGGCGACAAAATGGCCATAGAAGGTCGCCTTCATCAATGATGTAAACAATCGTTGACCCAATATCTGCTTAGCGACTTTCATAAGCTGTGAAATTGTTGGCGTTCATGGTTTTTATTTGCATTAATTTTTAATTATGTGTGTGTTAATATAAAATTAATTTCGAATTTCAATTCATTTTAACTATCAGAAAGGATGTGGCAGTAAGGGAGGGGGGGCATTAACAAGGCAGACATATAAGACATACTTCCAAACAATCAGGAGAAATACAAGCAATGCTATTTAACGATCAAAAATTTAAGAGTACAACCCGCTTGAAATATTTCAGCCATCCATGGTGAGAGCGAGAGCGTTTTGCCCACACATCAGTCGGATATTATTCCGGCTAAGTACATTCAGAGACATGGCAAGAATGTATTATATACATGTACGTATATACATAAATACATATATATGGATCCAACGGCCCCCACAGTTGCCAAATTTAGCATAACTGCGACGGCAGCAACATCAGCATCAGCATCATCCTCAAGAGATTACGAGAATTGAATTTCACATCACAATTTCTCTTGATGTTTTTGTTTTTGCTTTTGTGTTCTTCTATGAGTAATAAATCATTTGGATTGTGGCCAAAACGTCAAGTCTACATAACAACAGACGCTACAATTAAAGACAATACCACCATATGGACGCTTAATTTGTCTGTTGCAAGTCAAGGTCTTGTGACAAAATACGTAACCCCGTATAGACAGCTTGCCAATTGCTAAAAAAAACGATAAACATCCGACAGATACACGTGCAGCATACACAATGAAATAACTATAAATATATATACTTATATATACCATATATACCATATATATGTACACCCATGAGAATTTCGTTAGGAACAAAGAGTCTTAGAGAAGATGAAACACCTGCATTAAACCAAAGAGGTCATCAACCTCATCCGTTTAAATATTCTTCAAAGAAGAAGAAGACATCCTTGAAGCTACATGAGGTCTCTGAAGTTCCCAAAATCAACACTATATTTCGAAAAATACTGAAGCTAAAGCTATCAAAATTTGCATGCATGTCTTTAAGGAAATATTCGAAAGTTCCCAGGTAAATACCTCATGTTATATGTTAGATGTTATAGCACTTACTATAGCAATTTTTGAAGCGACTCGACAATTTATATTCTAGAATTCCATATCCAATAAAGGGCTATTTCTTTAGATAATTCGATCATTTTAGCACAAAGTTATTTTAATCAACAAATTTCCATCGCAATTATATTGGTACATACTCGTATTTGCATCTAAAATTGAACTCAATGGCTTGATTTAGATCACACCAAGACATTTCCGGCATCGACGCTGTTAGACACACATCAAAGCCTACATTGTACTTACGTCTGTATGCATATACAGTATTATATAGATATATAGGTATAATGATATTATTGGCAATCGAGAAGCTTCCCAGCCAAGCAAGCACGTGCAATTTGTCAAAACGACGGGGGCAACAAGCATCCAAACCGGTTACTGGCTGGGCCAAAAAACGTTTCAAAAACAAAAATAAAACATCACAATGAATTGCTTGACATGACAAGGCACGGCAGGAAGTCGGGGGAGAGGGGGGGCAAGGGGAGTAAAACTGGTTACATAAAATTTGAGCTCGCAAAGCTTTTTTCTGTCTGCACTCGACGAGTTTTTATTTTTTCCTTGCAATAATGTATGTTGTTGTTTTTATTTCTATTTTTGTTGGCAAAAGTGCAAATTGTCAGGGCACGAAAAAACACAAGTGCTTAAAAACAAATAAAATTTAATTTTAAAAAATGTACACACATATGTATGTATGTATGTTCAGTAAATACATACATACATACATATATACGAGTATGTACATACATACATATATACATAAGCACACATAATTAAAAGAAAGCACAGGTGTGTCTGTCAATTGAGAAGCCAAAACAGCGATAATATAAGGAATAACAATTAGGGAAACATGCGCAAATTTATAAAGACTAGATACATATAAAGTATCTATATGTATGTATGTATGTACGAATGCACATTTGTATGTCAAGTATGCTCTAGATAGAGAGTGCGTTACAGAATAGAACTACTTTGCGTCTTTTCCGATATCAGAAATGACAGCAACCAGGCCAAGAGACCACGACGATGACGAGTGTAACACATAGCGTATACGTAATGTTCATTTAGCCGAACAACCCACACACGCACACACATACATACATACAGAGGCACACTTACACTTAACATCCATCCACTATCGCTGCACGTTTTGTTGTTATTGTTGAGTTTTGATTGGCGCATTTTTAGGGGCTTGGCGCAGACTTTATCGCCAGTTCCTCTATATGCAACTGTAAATGTGGGTGTGTGTGTGTGTGCATGTGTGTGTGTGGCGGTGACGTAGCAAGCAATCAGGCTGGCGTACTGGGTCGACTGACGTCTAAATGGCTGCCACAATGGCCCCTAAAACTTACAACACCAACAACAACAAACAGTTCTCTATCTACATTTAAGACTCGCTGCATGTGCAAGTATGTATATCAGTGTGTTTATGTATGTAAGTGTGTTTATGTATGTAAGTGTGTTTATGTATGTAAGTGTGTTTATGTATGTAAGTGTGTTTATGGGCGCACAGCTGTGCCAACTAAGCACTCCCACACTTAATCATTCATTCATTCACACATTCATTCAATAGTGCACTTGACCATGCTTTTGCAAATACAGCAATTAGCTTTGCATTCACATTTTACAACAACTGCAAAATCAATCAGTGGCGTCACAAGAGGGTTTGGGGTTGGGGGTGTTGGGGGGAGCGGAGGAGAGCGAGTGGGAGACGACAATCACAGAAGGAAGGAAGCAAATTGAATCACTCATCACAAATTGCAGCTTCTGATTGATAACGTAATAATAATAAAGACGGCATGAAACGTGAATAAGAATCACCCACTGGATCTGTTTGAAATAAACATATGAATATGTAAATAAGGGCCGGTTCCCTTTTCCGATTACATGTTAAGAGTAAAACAAGTTCTCCTTTTCGAATAAAATTGCAATTACTTTCGCTTTCGAAGATGGTTTCAAATTCGTTCCCTTCCGAATTGATATATAATAATTTTTAATTAGTGAATGCGCTCAAAACAAACTAGTTTTTGTTTTCCATACATACATATATGTAAAATATCATAATATAGCTAATAATAAAATGTTCCAATTATAATCGTGTGAATTTTCAAAAGACATTGCACATGATCGTAACAGGAAATGCAATTATTTACGAGAATTCTAAGTGAACACTTAAAACTCTTCACGATATATATTTAAGATTGAGATGACATGTAATAATGAGACATTGGCCAATTATTCGAAGAAAACTTTTGAAATCTAATTAATCTTTTTCTGTAAACCGGAAAGTATAACAATTTATTTCGAACAAGTTGCCTACATTGTGGAAGCGAGAACTGAGGGAACGGGAACAGGCCTGAGGACTAATGAATCACTATCGCGAGATTCTTAGTCCAAACCTGACAATATAGAGTTAGAATACGAAATTGAATGCTAGTGTGATTTTCACTGGACTATAAGTGACTGCAACACTCTTACAATCGAATATAATTCCACTAACTGCGATCTCTAAAATTTAACATAGCTCGGAATAATAGATAAGAGGGAGATATAAGGACTTGTAGTTTAGAAAAAAGAAACAAAAATACTGAGATAAAAAAATTAAGTTCATGAAAATATGAAGTAGAATTAAAAACGAAGATCTGAGAAACTGAACAGCAAAGGCCTATGCTAGAGCTATAGCGTGAAAAGTAAAAAGCACCTGATAACACGGGAAAGAGTTAATTGCAACTTGAATCCAGAAATCTCATGATCATTTGAGATACCAGTAGGAGATGAAGAAGTCTAACGATGCCCAGGGAAGATAAATAGAGATATGAGTTTGTGGTGAGCGGGTACCAGGACTTTAAGGAACGCAAAATCACAGGTCCAAAGCAAAAGTACCAGCAGAAATAAATGGATAGATGTGTAGGAGGGTAGAATGGAAAGAAGTACTTTAAAATGGTATGCATTGCACTCACCTTCATGTTGTGCTCGACCAACTTTTCGCTGGAACAGATCATGTAAACGACATAGGCGCGCACCAGCTCCCACGTTGTTTTGCTCTTGAATGCAGCAAGCGGATCGTTGAAACTAACATCAAGGGGGTCGCGTTGGGGCGTGCCCGCTGGCTTCGGTTCGACCGGCTTCAATGCTTCCCGTTTGCGTTGCTTGGCCTCATCATCAACAGCGATCTCGGCTGGCGCAACCTGAGCCTGCTGGTTGCGTGCAGCCGAGTGCAGTGAGCGTGTGGTTGAGTGGCTATAGAAGCCGCCACCACCGCCGCCGCCCCCACCAATTCCAGCATTGCCGGCTACAACGCTGCTCAGCACAAGATTCTGCCACTGCAATTGTTGATGTTGCTTCTGCAACACCTGACGTAAAGTGCTCAGAATATTGGCAGTTTCCGAATCAGTCGCTGCATATCCGTCACTGTTGGCATTGGTGTTATTGTTCTTGCTGTTATTATTGTTATTAGTTGTATGTAGGGCCTGAGCACGACGAAGTCCGTTGCCGTTGGCTACAGCGGCTGCTGCCGCTGTACCGCCGTTAGTGCTGGTGTTGCGACTATAGACCAAGTTAATTGTTGTACGTTGAGCGCTCAGGGAACGGAGTAGAGCCATTACAGGGATGATGCTGCACCTTTGGCCGGTTATCGTTCGATTTGAATTGAATTTTATTTGTTGAGTAGTTGTTGGGTAAAGTAGAAAATTGCAATAGACTTGTGGGTCCTGTGTTCGTTAGCTTGATGGTTATTCAAATTTGCAATTTAGTGGCAAATTTGAATTTGACAATTGACAAAACTTTTTATGTAGCAGCACGAGCACTACATGGGCTGCCTTTGCCTTACGTATATGTATATATGTATGAGTGTCCGTCCGGCCAAATCGGTATCGGTTTTTATCGTTGTTTATGTAAAAAAAATATTATTTAGATTCGAACAGCTGATTTCTGTCTGTTGTCTTTGCTTGCGTTGCCGTCGGCGCTGAAATTATTGCTGTTGCTTTTGTATATTTCTAGTTTTTGCTGAGCTTTTTTTCCTCCACTATAAGATGCTGCCGATTTGTTGTTGTTGTTGTTACGTGTTATACAACAATGCAAAGTTTGTGAGTGAGAGAGGGCGGGCGAGCGTACCACACAGTGAGAAAATAGAGCGCAAATTTTGTTCAATCGTTGACAAGAGAGAATGCGCGTGCGATGGCAGTGTTGGAAGAGAAGAGCAAACAAAACACACAAATTAGACGCAAAGCACAACTTTTTGTCACAATGTGCATAAAATAAAATTTAAAACAAATTTTTGCTTGTTTTCTATTTGATAATTGTGTGGATTCTTGCTTGATTTTTCTGCTGAATTCCTTTTTTGCGACGCCACACACGTTCGACCACGGCAAAAGCACAGTTCAAACTAAAGCGATTCTAACAGCAGCGGCAAATGACGGCGAAATCACTCGTCGCTTATACACAAACACACACGCGCGCATTTAACACACGAACACACACACACATTCGCAGAACATGTACCTTTGGGCTCGGCATTAACCGAAACGAATGTCCATGTCCACATCCATATCCTCCTGCTCGCCGCTTTCTTACGTAATAAGGCGCAAAAATACACATACACATACATACATATAAGCTTTGCTGTGTGACGTCACAAACTAAATCACATACATTGAGTACATTTAAGGTATAAATTTAATTGAAATGCGCCGCAATGGAAGCAACAACAATAATAACTTTTAGTTGTGCTGCACAGCAACCTAATTGGTGTTAATTCAAATCGTGTATTCCCGCAATGTCATTGGACCCCAAATGTATGTATATTTATGTATGTATGTACAAATGTATGTATATAGCTGTGTATACTCTATAGTATATTACATAGCAAGCATTGAATCAACCATGATTGCCTCTTTTAATTAATTAGCATCGCGCTAAATGCACGACAGACGCGACGCACAATCAAATCAAACTTAGCAGGTTTCAATGCAAAGATTTCATTACAAAAGAGCAGAGGAGAAAAATAAATAAAATGGAATAAAATGTTCCCATTACTGTTTCTACCGCCACTAAATAAATAAAATAAAGTGCGGTTGGCACAAAAGCACAATGCTGGCGTCGCTGTTAGCGTCAGCTTCGGCGACAACAACAAACGTGACGGCGACATGCAACGATGCGTAAAAAAATGTATTAAGCTAAAATTAAAATTAATGGCAAAAAAAAAATTATATTTTTGCTGACAACGGCGCTTCTTGTTGCACTTGCTGTTTCTGACACTGCTGAGTCTGCTGTTTATTATTGACTCACGGTTCACGATTTTCGCTGCTACGCACACAGCAAATTATTATATAACATTTGTCTAAGCATTCACTAGGCGGCTGACTGACTGGCGGCAGGTCTTTTTTCCGTAAAGTCATGCAGCCACTTACACACACACAAACATACATACACTAGCAACATTCATACATTACACGTTATGTTTAATTTCGCCCTAACAGACTCGCTGTTGCCATTTTACTCGCCGTTTTTTCTGCTTTTTTTCGTTCTGCTTGATTCTTCTTCTTCCTCTCTCCGCATATGATGTATATACATACATACATACTTACATATGTATGCATAAACTTTGTTAAGCTTTTCCTTCTAACCGATGGATATTTCAAACTTACATACATACGAACACTTTCAATTTTCTTTGCGCTGCCCAATTTTCATGCACTTTTCAATATAAAAACGTTTCTGGTTAGAAAAAAAAATGCTTTAGAAAAATAAAAAAACAAAACTCAAACCGAAAGTTGAAAGATGACGAGTTTCTATACGCCCATTGAATGAAAATTTCTAGTCTGTGTAACTGACTGATTTTTTTTTTTGACTTGTCATACTATTTTTTCCTTTTTGACAAATTACTCAATGTGACTTGTGTTCGTACCTCTTTGGGAAACTCAACCGTATTTTTTGTTTTTTCGTATTTCTTTTATTTATTAATTTTGTGTAATTTTGCGGCCGCAACTGCACGTTTATATTTTTTGTTACTCTTTGCGGGCTACTGAACTATAAGGGTCTGAGTGCGCGAACAAACTAAATTAAGGCCAACTTTGAGGCCGCGGCAGAAGTGTGAAAACTGCCGCTGCTATATTAGCTGGCCAAAAAGCTCTTTGCCGCTGAATACACGAAGCTTGAGAGTCTAAAATTCCGTATAGCGGTGGCAAAAGCGCTCATCGTCTTTCTATGACTGTTGCACGTGAGCGCACCGGCTGTCGTTAAATGTATTTATACATACATAGTGTGTACATACATGTGCTTAAAGGTTGTAATGCGTTTACCTATAAATTATGGGCGCTCGCCATTTTCTCGAAACAAATCTTCGATTTGTGTCCAATTGGAGCGCTCGATCTTATCTATGTAGCTGTCGGTTGGCTGTAAAGCGAAACGCCGTTATCTCAAGCTTACTCACACACACACACACACACACATATGCTTAAACACCAGGCCTTGTGATGCCACATTTTACACAGTGGGTGGTTCACTTAATGCAGTCTGGCAGCGCCACAAACAAAGTTGTCGTCCTTCTGTATTAACATACACCAACAAAAAACTCAATTGGTTACGAATACTTCACCCATTTCCTCTTTCGTTTTATTACAATTTTAGGTATATTAATATTACAGTCTTTTATCTATCCGTAAGAATCTAGAAGTCTGCATTCATGCTCAGTTTGATATTTTTTAGTTGGGGAAAGGCTGGTGACAAGGCGGGCTCCTCTTACTAGGAAGTAACGTAAAGCGATTGCAATATGTATGAGCCCGACATTATTGTATACCCCATACCTAGTAAGAGTATTTGCTGTAAAATATCAAAAAAGTCCGCATTTTTGAAAATTGTGAATTTATCGATTGGCACCTGACGGCATACATCTCTGGGATTCTTTGATGCTCAGGGGGGGGGGGGTCTTTTTCAAGTATAGTTACAGGCGTGACTGTGAATTGAGATCTTACCAAGGGTGTACGCATGGTGGGCAGGGGGGGGGGGCGTTCCCCCCTTTGGTAAAAGCTGGCTACGCCCTTGGATCTGACTGTTCTGCCTTTTTGTCTGTAGTGTTTTGCTTTTGAAGATATTGCTGGCAAATGTTTATATTATAAGACATACAATATTGGCATGTATAAGTCCTGCAAGAACATGATTAGTTTATGCAACGACTGAAAGCTTTTTAACTGACCAGCTCAGCAGTTCGATCTTATACTAGAAACCATCGCGCTATCTCCGATTTCCGAAACTATCGGTAATAGCGGGTGAGAGGATATCATGCGCGATTTCATGACAGTTTACGAAACTACAAAAGCTCACCAAATCGGCAATTGTCACGCGCACAGCTTTAGCTCACATACAGATGAATAATTGGGTGAAATAAGAATATTTTATATTTGATATGCCTCCTTTAGTGTGCTGTATACAATGGAAAATTTTTCAAATACTATGTACCCCTGCGGTGGGGCATACCTATGTACATATGTACATATGTTTTACAAAGTATGAATTTGTAGGCTTAGCATACCAGGCAAACAGAAATCAGCTACATGTGCAAGTGCTTAGTAATTCTTTTAGGTCGACAGCAGTATATTACATAACGAAGATGTGTAAGCTGTACCTTGCTCCCTATTTATGTTCGCCTGATACTATGATGTGTTTATTTTGTGTTCTATGAACAGCCAGCAAACTTAGTTACCGACTTGTCCTTTATCCATGCGCAGGGCAAATTTATACTTATGTCCATATGTATACAGTCCTTTCATTTTATATACAAGTATGTACATACATACATATGTATAAGGCAGCTGCCTTAGGATAGGTCGGTATTTATGAAGATATCTTAGCTCAATTGGACATTTGTTCATTTTTTATAATGGCACATGATATTTTAAAAGTTATTTATTACGTTTTTTTTATGACTCCTCTCTCTAATCTGGTTCATCGTATTTTTGTGATAATCGAAATTGTTATCATATGGCTGTCATACGGACAATTGATGTAACAATATTTGTTTTAGTTGAAGGACTACAGGGTATTTATACGCGTTTTAGTTGAGTAGTAGAATCTCAGACGACTTTTGATGGAACCAAACAACTAGACATTTACTTTGAGTTTTTATCAATTTTCATCACCTTGATTTGTTGTCTCTCTCTATTTAATTTATGGTTAATAATTTTAATGAACTTTATTTAGAGAACAAATTTTGCTGAAGCTTGTATTGCAGACTATAATCCCTAGATATAGTAAGCTTAATAGTATTTCGAACTTTTCCACTATGTGACATTAATCTACTTGTTAGCCAATTATTGTCAAGCAGTTATGTAAGCGATTTTTTGTAAGCAGAATTTATTACGAGGCATTGAAATAAAACACAATATTATGCGGCTCGCCCAGCTGCAAAGGCATCTAATTGAAATCGTATACCAGTATGATGAGATTGAAAGCCACACATATTCATGAGTCAGTATAAGGTTATTTGTTTTAAATCAAATTTATTTCAACTACACATTACAATCGCATTGCAATTGTTGTTGTAGGTTTCTTCACCCGCTTAAAATATGTTCGTTTTCTTTTTTTTTTATAGCAGAAATCAAAATGAAATACATTATCAAATTTTCATATACTATATTTATAAAAGTGTGTATATTGTTTTGGGTAAACTTGCCAGATTGATAATAAAAATAAATTATAACTATTTGAAATAATATTCATTAACAGTTAATAAGCGCTGCACATACACGGGTGTGTTTATGTGTATGGGTGGTTGCTTGGTGTATGTTTGTTTGTGTGTATGGTTTGTATGGATGTTGTTGTTTAGCAACACGGCTCGTTTAAAACTTAACAAAAACAGAACAAGTCATTTTAAAAAAAAATCAAATAATAAAATATAATAATAAAACCATTTTGTGGTCTACAATAACAAATAAGTATTCTCTACACTACTACCGTTGCATTTAGTTCTTTCCTTCCATCCTTCCTACTATTCTCCCCCCTTTCTTTCTCTATAAATTATTGACTAAATTGTAGATCAACGAATGTCTGTTCCATATCGCATCCCGTCTCTTTTCTGCACATGTACAACTGACTGACGACTGACTATTGACTGACTGACTAACACACACACACACACATCACATCACATCACATCTCCTCTCATTTCACTTCATTTCATCTAATCATCTTCCATCAGCCACGGGCAACAACAACAGCAATGGTTTAAACATACAAATAGATTTAGCACATACATACATGCATACATACTACTACTATAATGTGTGTTTGTGTATGTCTGTCTGTCTGTGTAAGTGTGTGTGTGTTTGCATACATTAATTTACAGTTAGACCGTAGCATAGGCACTTGGCAATCTCGGTGCTCGGCAATAACAATGACAACAATTACACAATTGTCGATAAAATTAAAGGTGCGCGTGCGATTTGATAAATCAAAAACTTAAATAAACAACAAGGATCTGTATAACGCCATCATCATTCCTTTTCCATTCCTGTTCATGTTGCTGTGCCGGAGCTTGGCTCCTTCGTCTTCTATTCCCATTTTATTAATTGTTGACTGGCCTAATTGGCCAGCTCAGTGCGGTTGGCGGCCACTTCGGCTAGAATGAGTAAATCTGAGGTAGAGGTCACATCGAATTGCTGCTCGTAGGCCGACATTGAAGACGATGCCGAGGATGAGGAGAGCGGTGGCGAGACATTCTCAGCAGGCACGGCTACAGCTGTAGCGGCACCAGTCGCTTCAGCTCCGCCTAGAGTCGCTGCCGAGGATTGGATGCGCATTGGCGCAGCACCCGATGTTGTCTGATTAAAATAATAAGTGCCATTGATCGTCAGGGGCAGTATGGAGGCCACTTCCTGTTCAATAGCACTAACATTGCGACGCGTGATACTCTCCTTGCGTGCCTTCCGTTTCTGACTGCCCACAGCAGCGGCAGCTGCCGCCTGCTGCGCTTCCTGCTGTCGTTCCTCCCCAGTCACAGTTGCGAAGGATGTGGCACAAATGGTAGAGCCCGCCCTTTTATTGCCAACAGCGCTGCTGTTGCTGCTCGAATTGGAGTTGCGTTGCTTTTTAGTTGGGTTGAACTTCTTCTTCTTCTTGCTGCTTCGTTTGCGCTGCAAATACGCATCTAGACTTAGGGCCGGCAGCTCCTTGATCTTCTCCTCCAAATCAAAGTCGGGTGTCATGCCGATGCCGCCATTGCTGCTGCATTCGGAAGTGCTGCGATCCTGCTTGTGTGCCGACTGTGGAGATGAGTGACCATCGGCATCCAGCAGTTGATGATAATGTTCTGGTGGTGAAATGGGAGGCGTGCCACTGGCGTCCAACTGCTGTATTTTGGCGCTCTTGCTGCTCTTCTTGGCAATGGCCGCAATCTGGCCCGAGTTGATGAGCTCCTGGTATATTTTGCCCTTGCAGGATCGCGTTGTCTTCGCTTTTTTGCACTGTGACACAAAGCTGGCGTCCTCCTCGCTGGAGTTGCTGGCGCTATCGTGGAGCAGGGTGCGCTTTTGGTAGCTGCTACTGATGCTCTTAGCTTGGCTATTGGGCATGTGCGCGCTTAGGAATTGTGTTGTCTCGCTCAGCGCCTGCTGCAGTGCCAACGCCTTGTCCTGGACCCCTGCATTGTCACTCATCAGCGCACTTAGCTCGCCCATTTGCGTCTCATCAGCCAGCTTGAAATAATTTGGTGGCAGTGCAGCCGCCGCAGACATTCCAGCAGCCATTAGTCCTTGTTGAGGAGGGTTGCCAGCGATCCACTGCAGTTGCTGAGCATAATCCTCGCCAGATATGTTGTTGTTACTGTGGCCAATATTGCTACTATTGGCATTGCTGGGCCGCGTGGCAAGCGTTCGCAATGGCGGCGCTGGCAGCTTGTACCATTTGAAGTTGGGATTGGCATTGAAGAATGCATCCTTATTCTGGGATATAAGGAAAAAAAAAAGTATGAATAATAGAACTCTGACGTAACTAAGCAATATTCACTAACCTGCTGTGCCAAATCGGTAAAACACTGTTTCTCGTTTTCGTCCAATGCGGCCCACCAGTCGCCAAGTATCTTGGTAATAGCTCTGTAAAAACATACAAAAATATATTCATTTATTAAACGGATTGCCAAATTCCATAAAAAGGCGGCTTAAAACAATAATAATAATAAATATTTCGTACGTTTTCAACATTTATAGAATTACTTGCAAAGGAATAAAAAATTATATTTTATTGCATGGATTTTTGAAGAAATCCGCATCATAGTCCATTACGAAGGGGCCTAAATCTGCATATAAAGAAAGCAGAAAGGAATCGGCAGATCATAAATAGTCCATTAATACATTTTAGGACAGATAAAGAACTCCTGGTAGAAGTTTTGTATACTAAGTTAACTTCAGTTGCTTAAAAGTTGTAAGTCATAATATTGACGTGTATTATTCATGCTTGATCATATTTCTCGTAACATTCTTCTGAATTCGATTACTATATACGAGTACATATGTATATACTATTATACTTACATATGGGTAGTATGGTTTTTATAATTTGAAATATATAAAATAAATGTAATTACATAAAAATGTTCTGGTTTCTACAAACAATAAATTTATCTTATACATAATTAAATTGTTTAGACCTCAATCTTGCTTTAAATAAACAATTTCATTTCAGAAATGTGCCCACTACTTCTAGTGAGAGCCCTCGTTTAAAACTCTGGAATATTCAAATTTTTGATACTTCTTGTTTGTGAGAATCGGTTGTTACACGAGTAAGATAAATCAATTTTCAAATGCGAGAGAGATTCCTTACCGGTTCTCTAGCGACTTGTAGCGCTCCTTGACAATGGCACGATGTCGCTTGCAGAAGATAAGAAACGCGTTCATTGGGCGGCGTGCATGGTGCTCAGGACGCATCTCGTTATCAGCGCCAGTAGTGGCGTTCGGACCATTTGACTGGACTTCTGCCATACGGGCGCGAGCACCGTCTATCAAATTGACATGTAATTCAACCTCCTCCCTCTTCGTGACAGTCTCAACATCCACATGCTCCTCAGAATCGTCGATGGCATTTTTGCATGTGGATCTGGCTACAATAGGCAAAGGCTGCGACGGTATTGGCGCTGGCGGTGACTTTGGAGGCACAGACTTGTGCGCCTCAATATCTTCGCAGTCGTCATCATCATCGTCCTCTTCGGTGCTGCCATCATTTGAATAACTGCACTGTTGTAGCTTGGCATAGTTGTGTACATCTTCGATGCGTCGAAAGGCATTTTCTTGGTCCTCAGTGCGTTGCTGTTGCTGTTGAAGCTGATATTGCTCTTGTGGCACTGCCGATGTTGCCGTTAAATCTGCTGGCGTTGTAATTTGAATGAAGGCACTTCTTAATTTAGACGAGGACGACATGGCACTGGTGGAGTCCTTTTTGCTGCTCCCACCTCCTGCCCCATCTACGGCCTGCAAACACTGCTTGTTAATGTTGCCATTGCCTTGAGTGGGGACTATGTAGATTTGCTCTTTGGTGATCTTTGCTGAGGTTGAGGTTGAGGTATTTGCATATGTAGTTGCTGGTGCGGCTGTTGTGTTTCTTGTTGGTTTAAGTATATCATCTGGTGTGTAAATAAAGCGATAGTACTTTTTAAGTAAACTAGCACCCTTATGTTGTGGTGTTTTGAGCAATTCTGTTGGTGCGGCCTCTGCCATGTTACTGTTCTTATTTTGTATATTCTTATTGTTATTGTGCTCTATTATTGTTGTTGTTTCGGTTGCTGCTGCTGTTGCTGTGGCTGTTATTTCCATGGTTGAAAACGTTTTAAGGCCGCTATTGTTCATATTTTCGGGGCTGTATTATAGGAAAAGTGCAAAAATATGGATCCACCGGCCGATTGCTGGCAACCACCGCTGATGAGAATAAAGGCATCGATTATGTTGACAGCGTTGTAGTTCCACAAATTTTATTGAAAGTCAAAAACATAATACGCTGCAAAGAAAATTGAAATATACATATTAATACATATACTCGTAAATACATACATATGTATGTATATAATAACAACATTTTGATATGTTTAATGTCATATCCCACTACTTATAACCGAGAAATTCCATGAAAAATAATATTGTCGCTGTAATTTCTTTTCTAGTGGAAAACTGGGCCCTACTTGTAACGGCAGCTTAACAATGCGCCAGGATTGAAAACACTGGGCATTGCTACTTGATGCTGTTGGTGCCGTCGTTGTCGACTTGTTTACAAAATAAGCGAACAAAAGTGGAAGTGGGTGTTCAGTGTGTATGTGTGTGTGTGTGTGAGTGAGAGCGCGCGAGCGAGAGCTCCATATAAAATAGTGAGCATAAAAGATTGTGTGCGTGTGCGCCAACTACTAAAACAAATCAGCTGCTGTGTTTGTGTACGATTTGAAAGTTGGTCGCTCTTTGCGAACATACATATGTACATAAATGACGCAAATACACAAACACAATAATATAGGGACTATTATTATGAAATTTGATTGCGTATTTGTAAAAGCACTAAGAACAGAAAAACACCTACAAAAGCAATAAGCGTGGGCGCCACAATGAACAACAATGGCACCCTTTTTGGTTTTTTTAATTCAGTCACTCTCTCTTTCATTGCAAATTTATGAAACAAATTTACACATAAACATGTATACACAACATGCCTACCAATAAACGCATATACATACATACATATACATATACGCAATGTATATCGCATAAATAAAATATACCAAGTGCTGTCGCAGGTGTACGAGACACATACATATGTATAAATTTATATGTATGTCTGTATGTATATATATACAATAAAAAAACACCAAAACACAATATAAAAACAACCGAATAATAAATACTACGCAGCGCGAAAAGTTTTCAATTCATGATATTTTGCAACACTGCGCTTGCGCTTCGCCAATCTCAGTTTGCAATATCTGCATTGTACTTAAAAAGCTTTTCTCTTTGTTTTTTACACTTGCATAAAAAATAAAAATATGAACTACACGTACTAATACAATTAAATTATTAAATATTTCTTTTGTGTTTTCCACTCTTTTTATGGGTGATGCACAATCGCAGCCTTCTTAGTGACTGGGATGGATGGGGGAACAACAAAACTATCGCGAATACTGCTACGTGTACAACAAGTGTGTTAGTGTGTGTGGGCATGAGCGAACGAGTAGCGAGAGTGCGAATGCGCGCAGTTTTTCTTTGTATGTGTAGTTCACAGATACCGTACGCTTTTTTATTTAATTTTTTAGTTTTGTTGCTATTGCTTTGAACTTGGTTCTGTGTTGGTTGAGTTGCTTTTTATTCGATACCAATTTTGCACAAGTGTATTTTGAGCAACGAAGAGTATACAGCGTTGCCACTTGGTCGAAGCAGCAGAAATGTTGCAGCTGCTGTCAGCTGTTATACCGTATTGTTGTTGTTGTGAAGCGTACACGGTCAAGGCCAAAGCGACACCAAATCAGCCAATGCCAATGAAAGAGGGGGCGGTGACGCGGCGGCTACATAACCTTCAAACAGAAAGTTGTTGTTGCATTCTAGGTTATGTTATTCGTCCTATTGTTGGAGGCAGTGGACTCAAACAAAACTTACGCACTTCCCTTTTCATTGCTTTTGTTAAATTATCAATTAATTTGTTTAAGAGCAAATTAAATAAAACACAGTCTCACACGAACACACACTGAAAACAGCTGATGACGTTGGTTTTTTTTTTTTTTGGTGAATTTACATACGTTTCTACATATATAGTACGTACAAGTGACAAAAAATAAAAAACTATACAAACGTACATATATATGTATGAAGCATACAGATAGATGTATGCAAAAAAGTTCAACGTAATTGCGTCGGACACGATTGTTAAATGAAAATGCCAGTATTGTGCTTACGCATTAATAAAGTACTGACTAAAATAAATCAAGTTAAATTATTTACGATAAATTTCACCAATAAACGAAACGAGCGCTCTTGTTTAATTAAATTTCAATGTTGATGATGTCAAATGAGAATGAAAACTGACTTGTTTGTGCGCTGTCTACTATGGAGAGCACCAGCTCGCCTGTGAATTGAAAATGACGACGACGTTGTCGTCGGCGCCGCCGTCTGTTCGTTCAGTTTTGAGTTCAATTGCGCGCAGCAGCAGCAACAACAACCATCTTTTTTTGTTTTTCTTTTCCCCCACCCTTCATACAGACAACACACAAACAAGAGAGTGTATTGAACGTATACTGCTGCAGTTGTTGTTTTCGTTGTTCTCTTGTTATTGTTTGACTCTCTTCCATTTCGCCAGTGTGGGGAGCTCAGCTGTTTGATTTGTTGTTGCTGCTCTACCTTATTGGTAAAAATCAGCTGCACCATCCATCCACGAAAGCATGTGAAATCAATTTTTTGTTTAATAATTTAAAACGTTTCAAATTTGAGTTAGTTGAACTTTTTATTTTAACAAATATTTCCAGTTGCTTCAAAACTTTCCACAACGGCAAACATCTTACACATGCATACATACGAGTGCATAGACATATGTTTGTATTTACGTATGTATGTATATAATTGGATATTGCTCACTTGTTGCTTGCAATTGCAGTTTTCTAATTTGGACTTTTGCATTTACTTTTTGGTCTATACTTGATGTTACTTAACAACATCTAACGGTTGTGATCAACGATTGTGCCGATGGCTCCACCCACCGTATGTGTGCATGTATGTGTGCATTTATTTGTATATAGCTATCCTGCGCTATGCAGCGCACTTATTTTTCAAGGTCACCAGCAACAGCGAACACAACAAATGAATAGAACAAAGCACACACATGCATTTAAACACACACTCGCGTACATCTACAGACGCGTAATATTGCGCATAGCCCCCAAAACCAACCGCCCACCGTTAACGCCAATTGGACATTTAAATACACTTCTACTCGCTCTCTCTCTTTGCTCACTGTGTTGATGTTACGATTTGTGCGTTCACTTTAAGTATGTATGTATGTATGTAACAACGTGAATATGCATGCATGTATGTATGTGCAACAAACATCTTGCCGGGAGCGAGAGACAGGGCTATCTCGGCTTCGGCCAGTCTCGGTTGTTAGCTTGGAGATACTTCTATATATGTATGTGTGAATGTGGGGCGATGGCAGTGGCGGGAGGATACAGTTATGCACTCTATCAGTGTCTCGCTTCATTTTTGTTTTTCGTTTTCGGCCAAGTGTGAGTTCGTTCGCTGGTTTTCAGGGTCAGGGAAATTCGATTTTTGTTCTCTACGCTTTCCAATTAGGGAATTTAGACATTAAAACAAATTTCGCAACGCATGTACATATGTTGTATAATTTAATACTTAATACATACATACATATATATAAACATATGTACAAATATATTAGACAAGTAACTACTCATATTTATATGTACATACACAGAATTTCATGTAATAATTTTAAAATATGTTATAATTATGTACATAATTTATGCATTAAATTTCACATATTTATTTAGATGTAGCATATGCATGTGTGTACATACAAACATACGTATACGTAATGGGGCTGTCGCAGGTAATAGTACGTATACGCAGTGTGTGATTCTTTAGAACTCAGTACTGCACATTAACATATTCTTAACCAGACAATGTTTCGATATATGTAGCAAATTTTAAAAGCTTAATCGCACAATACGCATTTCGCTGATATATACACTTTCGTAATAATATATATATATATATATATATATATATATATATATATATATACAAGTTTTTGAGTGAGTTGTTTAATACAACACTTTCGTCGCGTATATACCTGTATTGGGAGTATCGATATACCTGCACAAGTATGTATGTATATGTACGTACTATATACATATAACCTAATAAAAAACTTTACCGAAATATGTCTATGACTATTCCGCGTAGGGAAATATTCTAGTAACTGTTTACAAACATTTTTTAATGCCATACTTTTTTTGTGTGTGGTTGTGGCAGTTTTAACATCACATTGAGAACGCTATCGCACATTCTTTTGTTCATTTAATATAGTACATATATGTACATCCATACATACATACATATTTATGTCAGTACACATGTTCATGTATGTATGTACATATGTAAATAAGTAGTTCGCTTAAGAGTATACAATAGTCGCTCACATACGTGATTATTGAATTTCTTACTTGTTTGTAGTTTGTTGTTGGGTTTTATAGTTTGTTGTTAACGGTTTAGCACTATTAATTATTACACAAAGAGAAAAGGAGGCGAGGACATGTGCACCCAAGTATTTATGTGTGAATGCATGCACAAACTTATAACATTGTCGAGTCAAATAAACATATTCTTAGCAAAAATATTTCAATTATTTTGAACACAAAATACGTCAGCAAAGGCGACGGCGACAACGAAAACAACAAAGCGACAGCGCGGCAGTCGCGATGAATGCCGAGAATGGCAAACAAGTGAACTTCAAAATCAGCAGCCACTGCAGAGCGTAAAAAACAAAAACCACAAAACAATGGCGCTCTCACAATCTCACAGCTGTTATTGTACATGTGCATGCATGTATGTATGTGTGCCAGAGTGCACTGTAAACAACTGTAGAGAATTGAGAGCGCGGGAGAGCATATGCTCTGGAAACTGCAGGCAGTATGCAAAAATGAACATATGTATGTATGTGCATCAAATGAGCTAAGAACATTGATCAAAAATAATATAAAAAGTATTTAATTAAATCTAAGAAAAGTTGTTTACAAAATATATATTTAAGTATATACTATCATCTTCGGGGGCGTACAACATTTCAGACATCGGCCAAATCAGCATACATATGTATGTACATAGATGATTTTGTAACAGTTAAAGTAGAAAACATGCGTATATACACACATACACACACACACCCATATATAGTACAACAAGTCGTATTGGTATGCTGGTGGACGTGCAAGTGAGAAAGTAGTTGATAATGACACAGCAATTGAGCATGAGAGGAGGAAAAAAACAAAGAAGCTACATACATAATATAAGGTAGCGCCAACAGCTGAAATTAGTTTATTTTTATATAAACATTGTATTTTCTTGTGAATACTCTTTTGTTCAATCTCAATTTGTTCAAAATCAGCTGTTTGTCAGTCTTTTCATTTTTCTGTTTGGCTTTCTGGGTACTTTAGCAAACTACACATTTATGTACATATGTATGTACATATATTAATAATACGTACATACATACATATGTATGTACATATACATATGTATATGAATGGTTGTATGCGCACTCAACACTTATGAACTCATTGTAGTCAGCAAGCAGAGACTTACAAGAAATTGCAGACTAAACATACCAAGACCCCACTGCTTTTGTCTAGAAATGATTTCTGAAATATCGTATAGTTAGTGCTGTGGACAGGTTCTAACTAACAATACAATCGGATTAAATTATCACCATGCTCCAGCATGAATCTATATCTTTTACCTTTCTCTCTCACTCCAACTGAGTTTTGCATTATCTTCAATTCAGTATATTGTGATTATAACGGGTCCACTGGTACTACGATGGGATCTGACACAAACCCGAATGTTATTACATGAGCGAAAACATATGCATACACAAATATATGCATACATTGATAAGAAATGTAGTAATAAAAGCAACGGCATATTTACGGTATTATGTGAACATTTCCCTCGCGATAAGCCGTCAACATTACATCCCCTTTCTTTTGTTTATACAATCAAACATACCCATAGATACATACATATGTATGTACATATCATTGTCATACATATGTATGTATGTATATTTATTTTTATTCCAGGCTGTTTTATCACTGCATGTGAAAGGCTCACAGCAACTGCCCACTTTATGATCATTTGTCACAACTCACCTAAATTAGTTCCGAATATCTAAATATTTTGTATGTCTTGTCTGATCGGTCACTCAACATGCATCGGAAGCTCAACGCTTCAGCACATTAATGAAAGTCTCGTGCGGAACTCGAACATTGGCAAACATGCGCATTTTCTTCTTTCCCTCCGCTTGCTGACGCAACAGCTTCATACGACGCGTCACATCTCCACCATACTGAAATGAAAAATATAATAAATAAATTAAATTAAATAAAATAATTCACTGCATTCTCGTATTTACATGCATAATCACATACATATTGTTATACGAATACACTTACAATAAATTTAATTTTAATACAAAGTAATTCATGTTTAGACTGTCATATTAAATAAATATGTATGTATGTTTATATACACTGGAATATGTACATATGGGTATATTAAAGCTGTCATTGTAGGAAAATTCTATCCAACCGTTTCTTGTTTCTTTTATGTTAGGAACAATAGTAGAGCTCTGTCAAATAGTCTATGCGTACGAATACAATCATACATACGTATGTATGTGTTTATGTTTCAAACTAACTCTACCAAACTTGGATATTTCTTTTATAATATACATATGTATGTACATACATGTAAGAACTACTCTCGTATACACTTACATATCCGCTTATTCAACAGTTTTTGTTCCTTCTGATAAAAATATCTACATTTGTGGTCACATAAGTATGTACATATGTACATAGTATTCATACATACAAATGTTTCTGGAGATATGCGACCCATACAAGATATGTACATACATATGTAAGTATGTGGCTTCATAGCTATAATAAACGGGCGTCAACTCATAGCCCGACAGGAGAGTTTCTTGTACACATAAATACATACATACATACAATATGTTCATATGTATTTATTTATATTATTTATATTTGTATGCATATATTTGCATGCTTTCTTTTCTTTATTCTTCTGTGAAGTGGGAATACTTATGCCGGAAATATTTCCCTTCATCAACAATTTCTGTTTTTTTTTTTCGCAGACAGCGAAGGCATTCAACTTTGTCATACTTAAGGTGAAATTTATTGTTCTCTGGGCCCCAATATGCTGCTTCAACTTATTAATTTAATAATGGATTAAGATTTATCCTTGATCCAGTGGGAAATGAAGCGAACAACCGAACAATATTGATTGTGAAGCTTAAATAAATATATTGTATACGTATCATTAGAAACAAGATATTTCACTCACCAGCTTGGCTGTGACATCCTTGCGGTAGGCTTTGATCGTTTCACGTGCTAGCACCTTGCTGCCCACACACGCCTGTATGGCGATCTGCACCATCTGCTTGGGAATCAGATCTTTCAGTTTGTGGACCATGTCGCGGGCCACTCCTGTCGCCTTTGAGGTGTGCACAATGCGACACAGCTCCTCCACGGGCCGCCCGTTTAGATGAATGTCCAGGCGCACCAAATCAGTCTCATGGTAGCCGTAGTCTTCATAGCTGAAACTAGCATAGCCCGAGCTGAGGGACTTCAGCCGATCGTGAAAGTCTAGAATAATCTCGCTCAGGGGTAAAATGTATTTCATCAGAATGCGTGAGTCGTCGATGTTTATGGAGCTTTGCTGCACGCCCCTCCGCTCTACACAGACACCAATAATTTGACCCACGTACTCTGTGGGCGTTATTATTGTGCCCAGAACGAGTGGCTCGTAGTACTCCTTTATGTTTATAGGGTCGGGAAAGAGAGCTGCATTGGAAATTTCGAGTGTATCTTTACCAGATTGTTTAATCATCTTTGGATTGCTCAAAACCACGTGATACGTGACTGATGGTGCTGTTATGATGGGCTCGGCTCCATGTTCCTGCTCCAGACGCTGGCAGAATACCTCCATGTGCAGCAGACCCAGGAAACCCAAACGCCAGCCCTGTCCGAGCGCTGGACTAGAGTCAACTTTAACGGTAACTGCCGAGTCGTTTAGGACCATTTTCTCAATGGCGCTTCGCAGTGATACATGTTTGGACTGATCCACAGGAAAGACGCCTGCAAAGACTAGCGGCTGTTGTGGCTTATAGCTGCCGGCGGCTGTGGCCTGCTCGTTTTTCAGATGAATAGTATCCCCGATAATAGACTCCTTGCTGCTGCGCATGTTGCAGGCAATGAGGCCCACTTGACCGGCAGCTAAAGAGGAGACATGGCATTCAGCAGGACGCAGCACCGATATGCTTTTGACAGGGTAAAACTTCTTCGTGGCCAGCGACTGTATATCCTGTCCTTGTGCAAGTGTTCCATTAAGCACGTAAATTAAATTAAGAGCACCGCGATATTTGTCAAACCAACTATCAAATATTAGCGCGCGAAACTGACTGTCACGTTTCACTTTAGGTGCTGGTATGGCTTCAATAACCCGATCTAACACCTCAGGTACTCCAGTGCCCAGTTTGGCAGAGATCTAGTTAAAAATACAGGAATAAGGTGAACTGTAATTCATAGATATAAATACGCACTTTAAGTATGGTAGCTGGATCAATCCCAAACAGCGATTGGAGGTCCTTGCACACCCGGTCGGGATTCGCATGTTTAATATCAATTTTATTAAGCACTGGCACAACGGCCAGCTCCCGCTGCTTAGCCAAGTGGTAATTGGCAACAGTCTGGGCCTGGACACCATGGCAGGCATCTACGAGCAATATGACTCCATCACAAGCTGCCAACGAGCGGGAGACCTACAAATACACATACTGATTAGAATTATGGCTTAAGGACAAAATGTCATCACTCTGGGCCGCACTCACCTCGTTGGAGAAATCAACGTGGCCGGGAGTGTCTATCAGATTGAGCAAATACAGTTTACCCTTGTACTTGTGAAATATGGACGCTGTTTGAGCTTTTACAGTTATGCCGCGCTCACGCTCCACCTGCAAGCTATCCAGCACTTGGTGCTGACCCGTGTTTTGCGATATAGCGCCTGTTAGCTCAAGCAGACGATCAGCTAGTGTACTTTTACCATGGTCTACGTGAGCTATGATGCTAAAGTTTCGGATGCGTTGCACAGGTATTTTGGAAAACTCTCGCATTACTTCATCCTGTGTCTGCGGCTCTTCAGTTGCACCAGAACTGCAGCTGAGGGTCTTAGTTGTGCAGAGTGAACGTCGTAGCGTCGAGGGTTTAACTACACGCCCATTTCTGTAGAACAATGTCCAGCAAACGCTTTTGTACATTTTTACTTAGTTATTTTTGGACTATAACATTTTTTATCTAAGTCGCCAGTAAGGCGTAAGTAACAAACCGGTTACGGCACAATAGTGCTGTGCGAAACATCGATGTAAAATCGATACATCGATGTTTTGCAATTTTTTCCAAACATCGATGTTTTATTTCCGATTTTCGATGTTTTTTACTACTTGAAAAAAAATCGCGGGAAAAGCTAGGTAAGTAAAAGCTAAAATTTGCATTTTTTTAATAAATCCCCTAATATAATACAGAACAAATTACTAATATTATAGATGGATATTGGTGTTGGCAGTGCTTGGAAATGGAGAAGTTTTTAAAAGAATCTAATAGCAAATGTAATTTTTATCTTGCAGCTGCAGTCTTATTTGTGTATGTGTATTTTCATTATTTGTACATATATTAATATGTTGTTCTATGTAATGCAAACTCAACTGAAATGGATAAGGAACTTGAGGAAGGTGGTCCTAATAAACGGGCAAAATATGGAAAGTCAACTGTGTGGAATTTCTTCTTTAAGTCTAAGGATGGCAAGTCTGCTAAATGCCTTAAATGTGGTAAAGTGTATCAAACATGTGGCAATACCACCAATTGAAGAACTACCAACGACCTCAAGCTCTATTTTGTCGTTTATAGACAAAAAATACGAAGCATTTTATTTACAGATCTCAAAATATACTTCTGTACATTTCATGTACAGAGTATAATGATAAGTCCCTTAAGGCATGTATATGCAAGTACCTCTGCGTTCCTGCAACGTCCACTGAAAGTGAGCGCATGTTCAGCAAAGCTGGACTTATAGTTAGCGAAAAAAGGAGTTCGCTTAAATCAAAGAATGTAGACATGCTCATTTATATTAACAAAAATGAGTGGATCTCAAATAATTAGTCATGAATTATATTTTTTATGTTATGCTTTTCATTTTGTTATACTTGTATTCTTTCAATTTATGAAAATATTGTTTTGTTGTTTTATCTGAAATTAGTCATTAACTATAATTTTTTATGTTATACTTTCTCTTGTTTTTAGTTTATTATTTGAAGTTATAAAAATATCGTTTGTTTTAAACCCTTTTGTACCTTTATAAATAAGACAAATCAAAACGAAGTGCCCTATGTTGTATATTAATTTTTGTTTGAAAATTTGTTAGTGGAATTTCGATGCATCGATACATCGATGTTCTTCCCCCAAAAAAATCGAAACATCGATGTTGGTAAACATCGATGTTTCCCCAGCTCTACGGCACAACATGTGCTGAACATTTGTACTTTCTGGCAACATCAGTTAAGGCTACCAGACTATCTCTCTAAAAAAACACTGCCACAAAATAAAAATATATGTATACGTACTCTAGGACCGATTGACCTGTTATCGGTTATTAAAATTTGCCGGCTACCGCACCGCAGCCGGTAACTATTGATTCGTCTTTTTAGTTTGCCGGTTGAACAAATAAATCAGATGTAAATTGTATAAAAAGCATATATGCATGTATATTCATAAATTTATAGATATAAGTGTATACAATAAAAAAAGATTTATTTTAATGCTTGTGTGTGTGTGCGTATGTTGCAATTTTTTGTTGGAGCTGATTTTTAAGCTATTAGATATTATTTGTGTATAAACATCAAAGAGAATTTTTTGTAGCAGGCTGGGAGGATTTGTTAGTTTTGGAGCAAAGCTTTAACGTAAAACAATTTGACAGCACTTAACGCAATTTGTAATTAAATGAGAGTAACAATACTTGAGAGCCATAGTTGTTCATACATATTTATACGCCGAGTCTAAAGCTTATAAATTAGTTTACATTTGATTAATTTTCAAGACTCCACCGCATACGTCTTAAATCGAAAGCTTAGTTGCAATATACGTGCCCGTATCGCATTATATATATATGAAGATGCTCCATTGACTTATAGCTACAGCCGCCTCTCTTTGAGACCAATAATAAACGAAAATGGTAAACATACATACATACAATATATATCAGCTGAATACTTAACGTAAAATATGTAAATACGGTAAAAATACAAAAAGAATTTTCACAAATTCTTTGTTGATAACGACGAGTCATGTCTAAATACATAATAGGAATACAGTTGTTTTTGTGTTTACTTTTAGGAGTGATATGAAGTGTGTGTGTGTGTGGTTCGAGATTTGTTGGACTTCATGTTATTTTTTTTTTATATTATTATATAGTTGTGAGCAATTGCATTGCTTTTGCAATACACTAATAAAAATCACGATAGATGAATAGTAGCATTAAATGGTATATAGTTGCTTTTCCGAAGACAAAATGCATAAACATATACTAAAACAAAAAAAATTAATTACATACGTAGCGCCCTTCGTGTTGCATTAGACGCACCTTTTGCAAGTGTTTGGGTGTGATCGGTAGCGCCTAAAACTTAAGTAAGAAAAAACATGCGTTTGGCCACCAACTAAATATGCGTACAAAAAATATATGTGGTATGTCTTTTGTATATAAATATATAAATTGCACAACATCGTGCTGCTCCTACATGAATTTAGCTTTTACTTCTGTGCCTGCATGCGTGCCTGCATCTGGGCAAGCATTTCCTGCATGCGTCGCAGCTCTGCGTCCTTCTCCTGCAGAATGCGATCCTTTTCGGACAGCACGGTGTTTACCTGTGTGGGTACAATGCTTTCACGTTCCGGCTTGGTGCCATTCTCTTTGCCTCCCCTAGCCAATCGATCTGATCGATAGTTCTCATAGTGTACCTCCTGTGTAACCTCCTGCAGGTCCTGCATATGTGTACTTTATATGCATAAAAGAGGTTATGAAATTAGTAATATTATTAGCTCCTAGAGTGGAGGATCTTTTACACTTACATGAGCATTGTACGCAGCTTGATGAAATCACAGTGGTCGGGATTCTCCACTTCAACAACGCCCCATGGATATAGGCGACCGCGCACCTTCTTGCCCTTCACCTCGAGGAGGGTATTCGCGCCACAAACGGCAAAAGGCACTGCTTCTTTCAGTTGCTTCACTTGTTCTTTGTAGTCTTCATCCTCATCTGAATCACAGTCAGGCAGTGGATAGATTTTAATGCCGTGGCTCTCGATCTCTTGCATGATACGGCATTTCAAACGCAAAATCTCCTTTTTCGTTAAGCAATCGGCTTTGGCTATGACCGGCACAATATTAACTTTGGAATGCAATTTCTTCATGAACTCAACATCCAAAGGCTTGAGACTGAAATCAAATAATCAAATTAATTTCTATGTTGTCGATTTTCACATGAAAGACCTACCCATGGCCAAATGGTGATATAAAATAAAAGCAGCAATGTATGCGATTATCGACAATATTTCGACGATTTAGGCCGCTTTCGTCGCGCAAAAAACGCTCATACTGCTCATCAATGTATTTGAAAATTGCCCCAAAGCTGTTGGAATTATCTATAGCATCTCCAAAGCCAGGCGTATCAACAACAGTTAGACGCAGCTTAACGCCACGCTCCTCAATCTCGACAGTGGAGGCTTCCAGCTTGACAGTTTGCTTTTGCTTCTCTAAAGGAAAAAGGCAATACATTTACTAAGTTTTTCGTTCTAAAGGCATAATACTGGAATCACCACTACCTACCTATAGCATCGCGAATAATGCGTTCTGGATACAAGTCGGTTAAAAACAAACTGTTAACCAATGTTGACTTTCCAAGACCAGATTCTCCCACCACCATCAGCGTAAATTCGAAGCCTTTCTTAACAGACTTGCGATGCACTTGGTTGGGTAAGTTAGCGAATCCCACATAGCCGGGTGTTTCAATGCTGGAAAACTGCAAAAATCAAAAGATGGTTAATTTATATCGCCGAAAAATGGGCCAAAAGTAAAAAGATTTTTATTGTTTGGTGGTGTGCAATGAAAGTGGCGGCGGTTTTGAATTCTTCGCACGTACGAATTTCTCTTACAGATACAAACACACATACCTGACATATCGCACGTTTTCAAGCCATACATGCATACCATTGTCCATATGTACATACATATTTATGTATGTATGTATGCCAGTACACTTGTCTGTATATCTACACATAAGAGCAATAATAACAAAGGCAAGTGGGTCGACCGAAGGGATCGACGGAACGAAAACTTGCTTTAAAAAAACATGTTATCTTTATAAAATTCCAGACTTCGTTGTAAATATGATCGTTTTTAAAGCCCAAGAATGCACTTTTTATAATTGCCGGCATGTAATATATTTACATATGTACATACATATGTATTTATAAATTAATCAGCTAAGCCGAAGAGGGAGAATTGTAAATTGAATGACGAATTAATCAACGGAAGAATGCATACATACGATTACGCATTCATATGTATGGTGCCGATATACAATGTAGTACATACATACAAACATGCATTTACATTCACAAGTATGTATGTATGCAAATGTACATGCATTTGTGGGGATAACAGAGCAATGTGAAAAGGAACAGAGATGTGTGAAGCGAGCGTAACATGCCACCAACCCATGGAGGAAGCAGACAACCGCGCCCTCGCTTAAAGGTGAACATTCTATCCGATTTACACATGTTTCACATATGCATATGTATGTATGTTTGTCTTTTTGTATCTATATGTATATTTACACATGCACGTATTTATGCATTTTTAGTATTGTATGTATGTACATACATACATATATGCATACAAACGCTTTAAATGTGCGGTACTTACACCCTTTGTATCAGCCATTTTAATTATTGGTTGTTATTGGTACTTGCACTCTGAGCTTCCACCAGCGAAATAGATTACTCCTTGGCAAATTTAAGAATCTTGTAGTGTTATAAACTCAAAAATAATTTAAAAAACACAAAATATAATGACGAACGAAATTAACTAGACTAGGGATGTAAAAGCGCATCGAAGCAACGATGATGTCGATATATCTTCGCCTGTACTCGATATTTTGAGTGTAAACAGTCTGGTATCGATGATACAGTTTTGAAATGTATGCTATGGAAATTCCACAATACCAATAACATACATGGCGTTGCCACTTCGACAAAAATTAGCCAACAGCTGTGGGATATCAGTCCTATAGAAACAGTTGTTTTTGTAACTACATAGGTTATATTTCTTTTTGACAAATTTCTGTTTTTCTTTAATAAATAGTATAAATTTTTGGCGTAAAACACAATGCTGTTAAATTGCACGCGTTTGACACACGGCTGCACAAGTCTACGCGTCTCAAAGATACGACGCGCCGTGACAGCAGAAAACTTTAACATACGTTTCGGTTCAGGATCAGGTTCATATAACAGCCACTTACAGCGGTTACAGACACTTCTGCGACCATTGAATGAGCCACAGGCGTTGCAACTGCTGCGACACCACTGCACGGTTGCGCGCCGTTTACCGGCAACACAAAAACAGCAGCTTCTGGGTGCAAGGTGGATGTGGGTATCGCGCGTACATTCAAGCATACGGCGGGGCCTGGCACAGCACAGCAAGCGGGAGCCGAACGCACATAATGTTGAGATATCGCCCGTAAAAATGCCAAAGTCGGAGTATGCACGGTTGCTGAGCTTGGCCAAATCGGAAAAGTACGTGCTACTAGGTACGATAAGTCTGCCTTTTGGGTTTGCCATTGCTAACTGCTTTCTTTTTATGTTTTGAATTACAGCTGGAATTGGCTGCCTAATTGTATCCTCGGCCATTACCATGTCCGTGCCCTTCGTTTTGGGAAAGGTTATCGATGTGGTGTTTAATAAGTCGGGATTGGATAGCGCGGCTCTCGCGAGTCTGCGTGAATACTCTTTTATGCTCTTCTGGGTGTTCGTACTGGGCGGTGTTATGAACTTTTCACGTGTCTATCTCTTTAGCTCGGCAGGTATATGAACATTCCCCCAACGGCATTGGTGGTTGGTCTCACCTAAATCTTAATTGCAGCTCTGCGCATGGTGCGGGAATTGCGATCTCGCGTTTATCGCTCAATGTTGATGCAGGAGGTGGGCTGGTTCGATACCAAGGGCTCTGGCGAACTGATAAACCGTCTAAGCAATGATACCTTCATGGTGGGCAGATCGCTGAGTCAGAACGTGTCCGATGGGTTGCGCTCATTGGCAATGATTGGCGTTGGCACCGGCATGATGGTACGGCTTTTTAACCATCAATCTTTTTGAAAACTGATGCAATCAATCTCTTCTAGATCTACACGTCGCCACAGCTGGCATTGGTCAGTGCGTTGGTTGTGCCCGCTATGGCGGGCATTGCCATTGTTTATGGACGCGCAGTAAGGCGCATCACGAGGTCAGAGCTAGACAAATACGCAGAGATAATGAAGTACGCGGAGGAGCGATTTGGCAATGTGAAGACGGTCAAGACCTTTTGCCGTGAGCAGCAGGAGTGCGAAACATTTGATCGCAAGCTGGACGAGGCTCTTGAAATTGGCTACAAAGAAGTGCGAGCGAAGTCCATATTTTTTGGCCTGGTTCGTAAGCAACAATAATAGCAATATCAGATAAGAGGAACAATGATGTTATTCTTGTTTCAGACGGGCTTCTCGGGAAACTTCATCATCATATCAGTGTTATATTATGGCGGTACTCTGGTGCTAGCCGATGCGCTTACAATTGGTGCACTGGCGTCGTTCATGATCTATGCCGGCTACGTGTCCATCTCAATGAACGGCCTCTCCAATTTCTACAGCGAGCTTAACAAGGGCGTGGGCGCAGGAATGCGCATTTGGGAGATATTGGACCGCAAGTATACGATACCCATCGACCAGGGCCTGGTGCCTCAGAAGAAACCTATCGGCGAGGTTGTTTTCCAAGCAGTGGACTTCAATTTTCCCTCCCGACCGGACTCCAAGGTGCTTTCGGAGTTCTCCCTCACACTGCTACCGGGTCAAACGACGGCCGTAGTGGGACGATCTGGTTCGGGTAAAACGACCATAGCGTCTTTGCTGCTACGCCTTTATGATCCGCAGGGCGGTAGTGTGCTCCTCGATGGCGTTGATCTGCGCACCCTAAATCCTCAATGGCTGCGCAGCAATGTCGGCGCAGTCACCCAGGAACCAGTGCTGTTCTCGGGCAGCATACGCGAAAACATTCTGTACGGCCTCAATCAGGGCGAGCAAGTGAGTGAGGAGCTCTTGCAGCAGGTGGTGCGAGAGGCGCACGTAGACGAATTCACTAGTCATCTTCCCGATGGTTTGGAAACGCTTGTCGGTCAACGTGGCATGATGTTGAGTGGAGGTCAAAAACAACGGGTAGCCATCGCACGTGCCCTGATCAAGGTAAGGGGCTAGCGGACCATCAAGAATGACATACACACTAACATTTCTATCTATTTCGACTCAGAACCCTATCATTCTCATACTGGACGAAGCGACGAGCGCCTTGGACTCCGTCTCTGAGGAGTTGGTGCAAAGAGCTCTGGACCAGCTGGTCCAAGGACGCACTGTACTGACCATTGCACATAGATTAAGCACCATACGGAATGCAGACAAGATTGCCGTGCTGGAGAACGGCCAGATTGTCGAGCAGGGCAGCTACGATGAGCTGATGGGCAACAGAGATGGCGCTTTTCGGGAGCTGGTCTCAAAACAGGCCTTTGGCGCAAATAGGTCTTGATATACCTCAATCCTATGCTAAATGCGGTGTTGGATTTTATTCATTTAAGGCTAGTTGTGATTATTTATATTGTACTTGGAGCACCAGTACAGAAGGCATCGTGTGTTTTATGTGTTCAAAAATCAATAAAATTGATCATGTTAAGAATATTCTTGTCTTTTGTGTCTGTCTTTTGTGATTATGGGTTACAAATAATTGAAAACTGCCGTTTACGAGCACTAAGTGTGTGCGTGATCGTGATTCGTGGTTCACAAAAACAGATAATGATACGATATCGAAAAAGTGGTACGATAATTAGACTACAAAAGAAAACATCACTAGCACTATGGGAAATGTAATACTTTAATATTGCTCTTAAACACAAAATCTCTATAACGTTTGGGAAGAGGTCCTGCCAATCCACATACTGATGCATGTGTTCTGTCATAACTAGCATAGAATTGATTATATAACGCAAGGAAAATTTGGTTAGTTATGCTTACACAAAGAAAGTAATATTTTAAAAGGTATATTTTATAATTTAAAAAAATCAATCAAATTTAAAAAATTATATGCAATAGAGCATGGATCAAACGATAAATCAGCTATAACTATAAATATTTCAGAACCTTGTTCTGCTTTCGAATAAGCGGTGTCTACATGCCAAGTCTTTTGTCCAAAGCAAAGGACCAACTATAAAACACTCTCAGAACATGACCAAGAACTTAAAATGAAGAAAACTATTACGATCATTTTTTCCATGTTTTTTCCATTTCCATACAATTTATCGATCGATGATTGATTTTACTTCAATTACATCATTATGGAGAACATGGGAATTTAATTGATATTTAATTTTAGTCAAATGTTGATTTGAACACTTAAAGGCAGTTCATCCACTTTCTGTTAATGATTCGATTTATTATGCGGATTCTTTCAAGGTACTTATCTATAAAGGAATTGGGAGCAAAAAAATTGTAGAACAACAATAATGGATGGAAAAATTCTTGCCTGATCGTGACGACATTTTTCGTCACGCGCACAGCTCTAATTTGGAACAAAGTTATGTAATCGAAAAACGACACCGAAAACTACGACCGTTTAAATATGAGGAATTTTTCTCTAGAACGATAATCGAGTTGTCCAGTTCTTTAAACAGTTTATTGTTAAATCATTTTTCACGTTCAGCTAAATTATATAAACAGGCACACAAATAAATGCAATAATTTCTTCGCATCTAGGTTTGTGAGCCACGCCTCTACGCTGGATCCGTGCGTCCTCAAAACTTCAATAATGGAAGGAAAAATTCTTGCCTGATCGTGACTACATTTTTCGTCACGCGCACAGCTCTAATTGGGAACAATGTTATGTAATCGAAAAACGACACCGAAAACTACCGGCAGTTTAAATATGAGGTATTTTTCTCTAGGAACGATAATCAGTAGAGTTCTTTAAACAGTAAACAGTTTATTGTTAAATCTTTTTACACGTTCAGCTTAATTCTATAAACAGGCACAAAAATAAATGCAATAATTTCTTTGTATCTAGGTTTGTGAGCCACGCCTATACGGTGGCCCCATGCGTCTTCAAAACTACATGCTCTACTTCTACTTCATGGTGGGCATGGCGACAGCCGCCTGTGTGTGGGTGACATCAGTCTCGCGCCACAGTTGCGTGATGGTCTTGGTCTGTGTGTAGAACTTGACGCCCTGCTTGCCGTAGAAGTGGTGATCACCACGGAAGGAGCCGCGGGTGCCGGTGAACGAGAACATGGGCAGAGGGACGGGAATGGGCACATTGACGCCCACTTGGCCGGCGTCGATTTCGTTGACGAACTTGCGGGCCGCAGCACCATTAGTGGTGAAAACAGCGGTGCCGTTGCCATAGGGATTCGCATTGACAATGGAAATCGCATCGTCCAGGGTGTCGGCATTAAGGATGACCAGCACGGGGCCAAAGATTTCCTCTGTGTAGCACTTCATGCTGGGCGTCACATCGGTCAGAATGGTGGGGCCGACAAAGTAGCCATCCTCATAGCCGGGAACAGTTATTTGACGACCGTCAAGAATGAGTTTCGCGCCCTCCTGGACGCCCGACTCGATCAAGTCGTTGATGCGTTGACGTGAGGCGGCGCTAATGACGGGACCAACATCAGTGCCGGGCACATGGCCGGCATTTACCTTCAACTTCTTGGCGCGTTCGACCAGGTCGGGAATCCATTTCTGTGCCTCACCCACAAACACGGCTGTGGAGAGCGCCATACAGCGCTGGCCAGCAGCACCGAATGCAGCACCAGCAAGCTGGTTCAAAGTGTTCTCCTTGTTGGCATCGCTGAGCACCACACCGTGGTTCTTGGCACCCATGTTGCTCTGCACGCGCTTACCGTTCTTGCCGGCGCGCTCGTAGATGTACTTACCGGCCGTGTCGGAACCTACAAAGGAGACGGCTTTGATCTCAGGGGCATCGCAGATGAAGTTGACAGCATCATGCTGGCCATGGATGATATTGACTACGCCTGGTGGGCAGCCAGCCTCGTTCAGAAGCTCCATCAGCATCATGGTGACGCCGGGCACGCGCTCCGAAGGCTTCAGCAGCATGGTGTTGCCGGTGGTGATGGCCACGGGGAACATCCAGAGTGGGATCATGGCGGGGAAGTTGAAGGGCGCAACGCCAGCGGTGACACCAAGTGGTACCACCAGCGAGTAGGTATCCATGTCGCGTGCCACGTTGGCAACCGTCTCACCCATCTGGAGTGAAGGAATGCTACAGCAATGCTCGACAACCTCTGCGGATGGTATAAAGCAAAATGTTAAGCAATATAAAATACTACATACATATGTATGTATACTATATACTACATACATACATACACCCATAAGTAGGTACATACGTATATGTATGTATGTATAAATTTATATACGCATTGACATTATCTAATCGAATTATGTATGTATTTAAGTATGTGAGCCACTTACGCAAGCCACGGAGCACATCACCCTCCGCATCGACTAGGGTTTTGCCCTGCTCCTGGGTGATATTCTTGGCAAGCTCGCCCATGTTCGCCTTGATGAGTGCCTGTAGCTTGAACATGACTTGCTGACGCGACACAATGGACTGGTTGCTCCATGATTTGAAGGCCTTCTTGTTCGACTCGAGCGCAGTGCGCATCTCGTCCTGTGTGGCCTTTGGCACACGTGTCACCACCTGATTGGTAGCAGGATTGTGTACATCAATCCATTCGGTGGTCTTCGACTCGACGAATTTGCCATCGATGAATAGTTTTGTTGTGGGTACAGCAGCGGATGAATAGGATCGCTTTGCCAAGAGACGTGCCTGTAAATCATCAAAAATTCTAAAATTAACGGAATTTGAGTGCGTCAAGAAATAATGTTGCACAACACTGGCAGAGCTGCCAGCTGCAGCTGCAGTGTCGTTAACATTTGGCGCGTACATAAATTACGTTGCCGGCAAATGACCACAAATACATACATACATATGTATATGCATGTGTATGCCTTACATTCTTGCGAAGGAGCCGCTTCATTTGCATTGCTAATGATAACGTGTTAACAATGCACTTAACCTCAACATTATTAGCACGCCCAACGACAGAAATGAAAATAATGCAGATCACAGACTATTGGTTTCACTTTCAGTTGGCAACATCAAATATGTATGCACATGTACATGTATGTATGTATGTATATGTACATATGTATGCATGTAATGTGTAAGTGCGTAGTTGCCACGCCTACTTTTATCAGAGCCAACAGTTGGCATTTAGCCAGTACTATTATGTTGTATTTAAATGCATCACACTTTATTACATTTTACAGCACATGCCGCTCCACAATTGTAGGAATGTAAATGCGTAAATACATTGTAGGATCTCTCTTTGCTTGCTTCCACCTGTTGTTGTTGGACGTCGCTTTATCTGACTGAGCGGAATTACGTAACAGGCGGTTTGAATTCTTTTTTTTCACGGTCAGTGCCAATTAAGCGATGATCACAAGGGCCGGAAGAACTAGGAGCTGGGAGGGGGGGGGGGGGGGGGGGGGGACTGCAATTTACAGCCTCAATTGACAACATACAACTACACAAGCATTTAGTTGCACACTCACATGTAAGATGTAATATACATGTAAGTACATGTATGTATGTACAAATGTATGTAAATATGTCTAGGAAAAGATATGCACTCGCCTCTTTCTCAGCAAGCCTGTGTTGCTTTTACAACTACGTATTATTATTGTGAATAGAGGTGTGTATGCATGGGCGTGTGTATGTGTGTGTGTGTGTGTGGGGGTATTATTGATTAAATGTATGTTATTGTTTCTTACCTCGGCACCAATCAAACGCACTAGGGACATGTTGCTCGGTCAAAGGAGTGGGATCTAGATCTGTGTTATTAGGTAAAGTTGAGAAGAACACAATAACACTGCACACAGGACGTTATTCAGGGGTCTGGAAACGGTACTCCGCTCGATTTATGAGTGCGGCTGGCCAAACCGGTGGTTCCACTAGAACTGAAAGCTAGCGCTGAAGCTGTGCCAAGTTTTGGCGAGCAACGTTGCGAGGCGCGCGTGTATGGTGTGATTGTTGATATACGAGCGGAGGGGCGGCACATCCACAGCGGCGGAGTGGTGGGGTATGGCGTTGGGCACGAAACACGACGGCTCCGACGACGACGTCGAAATCTGCTTAACGATAGTAGATGAACGTACAGGCCGGCCAGCGTTAGAATTGTTTTTGTTTCGTTTATTAATTCGTTGGGGGCTTGCTCGTGGCGCTATGTTTGTCTTGCCATATGTTCATTCGTCTAAATACATATACATAAGTATGTATACATATGTATGTAAGTATGTACATTTGTGTGCGTATGTTGTTGGCACGTGTGGGCCTGTGTGCGTGTCTATTTAGATGAGTGCACGTGCATGTGTGTGTATTAGGGTGGCCATATTTTGTATGGCTTCCACTACACAGTTACAAATTTGCATTAAAATGTTATAATTTATTACATACTATTACTAACAGAGGCAGTTACTTAGGTAATCCAACTAACTCAAATATTTGGGCATTTATTATTTTATACCAATTAACTTTTTTTTAAGAGAGCGAAACTCGAGCTTTGAAGAAACGAGTTTCTTAACTTCATTTATTTAAGTATTTAATGGTAACTGAACCAATAAGTACGTGTATTTACCTTTTGCCTTTAAAGTTTTTTCATTTATCGATCCTGCCTTAACCTTGAGAAAAGACCAGTCTATTTTCTTATTATTTATAATTATCTATAAACACCACACATGTATAGATTCGTCGTACACTTTACGCCAAAAGTAAAATATCTTTAGCAATATTTGTATTTTCTAAAGAAACTTTTGCGTCAACTAAAAATTAGTTGTAAATTGAAGATGTAAAGAATACTGGACATCGAGATTCTATAACTAGAATAATTACACAAAAATATGTTATATCGTTTAGAGTAGAATTTCGATAGTCATTTTCTATATGGCCAATAAATGCAAATCCTAATGTCGAATATCATAGTTTGGTTCTTAGACTAACAATACTTGTAGAACTAGCGATGCTCAGTGTAGGTTGGATGTTGACAGTTTATAAAATGCGCGGATACTGCGCAGTTCCGCCAACACTCTATCAGCACATTTTCTGAAAAGCTTCGAAATGCCAACAAACGCCTATAAGAGGTGGAATGTAAATAATGAACGTACCTTGCATTGGCGTATTTTGTGTCTGCTGAAGAAAGATAGTTTCTCTTATCAAATGTTATGGTCTAATCAGCGAAAAGCTTTTACCTCTTGATAGCAGATTTTTATCAACTCTGCCTAAAAGTATGCAATGAATTGAATTATGTGTTGGCGCCAGCTCGCGGAAGTTTGCGAAATTAAATTTTCTTACCTTTCGCCAACCAGTCGTTTTAAAAATTTGAATTTTATTAGAATTTTTACTTTAATATCAACGTAAGTATTTATGCAAAAAGGGTTTACTGATTCAAAAATATCTTTCTGTTTATTCTGAGATTTATATATGAACTAATGTGCGTGTTGATTAGATAGCATGAAGTAGCTTGTTAAGTGCCATTATAGCTTCTCAAATATAAGATTCCTATAAGCCTATTCTTTTAAATTGTGCTATAAAAAATTAAATTAAATTCGTGAGTTATTTGAAGCAAAACTTGAAACAATAACAAGAGCAATAATTAAATTTTGCTTATCAGTTTTACAATGTTCTTTACAAATATACTATATTTATTATGGATTTCAAGTTCTTTTGTACCAAAACTTGTTCTTTTCTTGTTATTGCTGGTGTCCTTATTTCAATTAACTTATATATTTGTACCATCTTGTTATTTTGGCACCTCCGTGAAATTTTTTAGAGCAGAGAACCTCTGCCTGCCTGGAATGCCAAGCCTGCCTGAGACTCCTTCACTCCGATGGAAACTTTTATCCATTTTAGTTCAAGGCGCTTGGATGTTCGCTTGGGGCCAGAGTTGGCCAAATTTATAGTTTCCCAGCGCTGCTAGGTTCTTCATAAGAAATCTGAAAATACTTTTCTTGTCAGGAGGGATGCTGGATGAAGGATAGTTGTGTCGTCAGTCCCTTGCCAGCATATTTGAAATTCAGTTATCCGTAAAGTTCCGGTGAACTTTTCGGAAAACATGAATATCCAGGTTGGGTATTAAACAAGCTCTTCAACATGGCTATATCGACTCGATGAAGAGTATGTATCAGGAACGTCTTCTCCTGTGTGTTACATACATTCGCCCTAAACTAGTATGCTCTTTTACCATCTGGGTAGAGGGTATATTTATTCAAAAACCCGTTGACCCAACACAATAAATGTTCAAGTTTTGCGTTTCATTGGTTTAATGATTTAATTTTTGAATTTTGTTTTGGTTTACAGTTACAATTAAGTACATAGACGCTAAGTACACGATTCCATTCAATTTTTTTGTTCACATTTGTTGTTGCATTTCCTTCCTCTTCCTTAGTTAGATTTGTATTCTCTAGATAAATAAAATAATGCATGCAAAAACATATGTACATCCTACATGAATGTACATTGTTGTATGCTTTTCAATTCATGTTCGTTGTTTTAATTTTATTTGATTTTTATTATTATTAACATAAATAATGTAAATGAAATGCTTTGGTTATTGCTGTAAAAAGTCAACTACTTGCAAGGATTTGCTTTTATTTATTTAAGTATATATTTATATATATGTATGTTTGTATGTGTATACGTCTATATATATATATATATATATATATATATATATATATATATATATATATATATATATATATATATATATATATATATATATATATATTTGTATATAAATTACAGCAATGAATTGTGTGTATGTGTGTGTGTTTTATTTCCACAGTGTGCAAATGAATTGTTTTAGAACTATTAACTGACTAAGTCTATGCCATCCATTTGTATAAGTGGGTTGAAATATTTGAATGTGTCATTGTTGAAGGCGGTTTGTAATTAATTTATTTTTATTTTTAAATGTATAATTAAAGTTACGCATAAGCCACGCTGCGGTTTCAAGGCCTCAGAAATGTACAATATTGTTTAAAAAAAAAAGATGTTCTATATGTATATATATATTTTTAGGTATTTCTATATATTTATGTTAAAGAAGGCATTTCCTTACATACTTGTTTGTAGTTTTCTTTGTTGCTTCTCGTCTCGTCACTCCAAAACTTAAGTCTTTTGTGTGCTTAAAGTATTTGTTTTATTTTCAAAGTATTTAAGGTTTATTTAATCATATAGTATGTACTATATCTAAGTATACAAATAAAGTGTTCGTTGTTGTTGCCATTTGTTGTATATGGTTTCGTATTTAATAAGTTTAACAAAAAAAGGTGAAAACTCCACTTGAAAATGTTGCAAAAAAAAGAAGAAGAAAAACGTCCTTATTTATACATTAATGTATATATTTTGTGTAAATTAAATTTTCTAATTTTGATTCATTGGTGACTTTTCCAACAATCTTCGGTTGTACCGTCTAACAATTTCTCCACAACTACTCGACACTTCGATCATTAATCCCATCAAATCGATCGGATCTGATCAAAGTTCTCCCGCTAATGTAATATTATTAACTGAAAGCAATAGGAATGGTTTTCACATTCGGAAACTACAAGTAATGCTAATTATTTGTAAATTATAAATTGCAGCAAATGTTTGCCCTAGAAATGTAAATGCTTGTTGAAAACTAACCGGCATCTAGTATAAGTAAGATAATTAAGATTGACAAACTATATAGGCTTTGGTATACGAGTTCCACGATTTGCTTAAAAAAAAAAAAAAAAACCATTTCAAAAAAATGAACTAAGAACTAGAAAAAAAAGTACCACAAGATGATGGACGCACTTTTCGCAGGCGCTGCGCTTCGTTGCTCCAATTTTAGATCTACTCTTGAATCAATTTATATCTATGTATATATAGATTGACATGTCTTGGTCTCTGGGTGGCCACTGGCCAGTGACTAGTGGCGCCTACTTCTCCACACCCAACAGCTTGGCGGCCTCGTCTGGTGAGGAGAGCAGTTTGTTGAGTATCCCCTGATCGCTGATGCCCAAGAGGTTACCGATGAGGTCCCCGCTGCTGGGCACTGTGGTGCCCGATGATGCCGCCTCGCTTCCGCCAATGTTCTCCTTCTGCTCGCCCAAGCGACTCGCACGCCACTCATTCGCCTTGTCCAGCAGCTCGTGCAGCTTGGGACCGCGCAGACAGGCCAGCTTATTGGTATTCATATTGCTGTTGTTGTTGCTATTGTTGTTGTTGTTGTGGCAAGTTGAAGTTGGTGGGGCAATTGCATTGGTCGACATGGGTGTGGGTGGTGGCGTCGATGACTGCTCGTCGTCGGAGCAATCGGAGCCGCCGTGCTCAGAACCGGTGCCGTTGGCCCCATTGTAGGGTCGTCCGCTGTGCTTCTTCATGTGGCGCAGCATGCTGTGCTTGAGCGTGAATTTTCGCATACAGATCTCGCACTGGAAGGGCCGCTCGCCGGAGTGGGTGCGCATGTGCCGACGCAGGTCCTCCGTGGACCAGAAGCGGCGCACACAGAAGGCGCAGATCACTTTGCGATTGCTGTAGTCTGGATACTTTCCGGATCGAGCGGCACTCGCGCTGCCGTGCTCCTCATCAGAACCGGCACCAGAGACCAGTGGGGGTGGCGGAGGAGAGGGCTCTAGGACGTCAGTCTCGATGGCACCCTTGGCGAGGAGCAGTGCAAACTCCTGGGCATGGTGCTGCTTAATGTGCTCGAGGCACTGCAGGCGCTCACTGAAGGAGCACTCGCATAGGTGGCACTTGTAGGGCAAGTCGGAGTTGGTGTTGCCGTTCGCCTCAGCAGTGGCTGCAGCTGCGGCGGCGGCCGCGGCGGCTGCGACAGCAGCGGCGTTAATTTTTTGAGCGGCGGCAGCTAGCTGCTTGAAAAGCTGCTCCTGCTGTTCCTTTTGCTGCTCACGTTCGCGCTCACGTTGTCGCTGTTCCGCCTGCTGTTGGGCACGACGTTCGCGCTCTAATTGCTCGGCCGCCTTGCGTCGACGCTCCTCCTCTTCACGTTGGCGCTGCTGCTGCTCGATCTCTTCCACCGACTTGGGCACTGGTATGGGCTCGTTGACATCTTCGGTGGGTACATAGACGGACATGGCGGACTCCACGTTGCCGTGCTTCCGCAGCAGGTGGCGATCGCAGTTGCTCTTGGTGGTGAACAGTAGCGGGCAGTGAGAGCATTTGAAGGGCTTCTGGCCGGTGTGCGTGAGGATATGACGACGCAGCGAACTGGACCAGGGGAACATGCGTTGGCAGTAGGGGCATGAGACGCGATTGGGGGCCAGACTGTACGCGGATTTCTTCTTTGGTTCGGTACTGCTGGTTGTGACGTCTTCGGTGCCAGAGTTGTTGCTTTCGCTGGCGCTGCCAGAGGCGACAAGACCCTCCTCATCACTCTGCTCCATGTGGTTGGCCACGTCACTGGGTCGGAAATAGGTGTTGAACGAGGCACTGGCAGCGTTTGCATTGTCGACGAGCTTCGATACGGGTACCAGATCCTGAGATTCGTCTTTGAATGGTGAACTGGCAACCTCTTTGAGCGACTTGGCCACCGACTCGACTTGAGCAATCATTGTCTTCATGGTGTGTGCAGGTGGTGGTGTGGGTGTTGGCCGGCTTGCTAGCGATGTGGCCGAATCTGTGGCGGGGACAGCGACGGTAGTTGGTTTTGCGGCCTTCTTTATAGCCAGTTCGAGTATGCTGTCGGCCATCTTCTTAGCCGCTTCATTGGATTCGGGTGGACTTTTGGGCGCCATGGGCGATGGTGTTCGCACCTTGGTCAGCTGTTCCAGCGGCTTGGGCAAGATCTTAATGTCCTCCGAGTCGTCTGCAGCAGTGCCTGTTGCTGGCTCCGCATGCATCTGTTGCTCTTCGGCGTCGTCATCATCCATTTCATCGACTTCCTCTTCCATCTCTTCCTCATCCTCTTCCTCCACATCGTCCTCATCAATTACCAACTTGTCCTCATCATCGTCTATGACGCCGTTGTTGTTAGAGACATTGTGGTTGGTACTTGAGGCGCTGTGGCTGCTACTACTGCCATTTGTGTTGCAATGTTGGATGGCGCCATTTAAGTGGCCATAGCCGAAGTGAAGCAACGGATTCGCAGCCACACTGCTGGAACCATGTGCCAGGGCCTGCTGCAACAGATCCGTATCCTTGCGCGCCTTGAGCTGCTGCGCCAGTATGGCATGCTTCACTTGAACGGAGATGTGTGTGGTGCCTCCAGTACTTCCAGGAACGCCCTGATGATGGCTATGATGCGCTGCTGATTGTTGTTGACCAGCCGCGAAGCTTAGATGGCTGATGCTATTCATGGCGGCGGCAGCTGCAGCGGCTCCTCGACCACGCATAACGTGGTGGCCACTACGTTGGCGCTGGGCATAGAACTGCGGATGCTGCTGCTTCACGTGCCGTTCCATATTGGACCGTAGAGTGAATCGAGCCGAGCAGTGGTCGCAGGCGAAGGGGCGCTCTGTGCGGTACCGGCGCTGCTTCTGCTTCGGCATGAGCACGCCATTTTTGATGACCATCTTTACAGGACCAACAGGCAGCGGCACCCCGGCGGCATGAGGATGTTGATGTGGATGTGCGTGCGGATGTGGGTGTTGGGGTGGCAACAGCGACGACACTGGCTTCTCTGCCCCGGCCATAAGCGGACTTATCTGCGGCAATAGAGCCGATGGGGTTAGCTTATCTGGGCCATTCCCACCGCCAGATGACGGAGTTGGTGGGATCGTGCTATTGCCTGCGGCACTGCTAAACATGCGCTTTAACAGCGACTCCGCGAGATTGGCCGAATTGGCGGGCGGCATGAAATTGAAGAAAGCAAACGGCGAGGGCTGCTGAAACATCAAGTTACGAAAGATCTGCTGCATGTATTGTGTTGGATCGCCGGCGCACATAAGAGGGTGTTGGGATAACAGCAGTTGCTGCTGTTGTTGCTGCTCTAGGGCGGCTGCCAGCTCGTCCACTGGGGCCACCGTGGGGACGGGGGCCGTGGGCTTCTTGCTAAGGTCTAATACATCCATGCTGAGGTCCATTGGTGTGGTGCTGGTGGCAGGCGTAGCTGGTTTTGTTTCTGACTGTTGTTGCTGCTGCTGCTGTTGCGACTTGTCCACCAGCTGGTCCAAACTCTTCACCTGGATCTTGGCTGGTGGCTGTCCTTCGGCAAGCAGCATGTGCTTCAGTTGCGAGACGGGCGTGGCATGCTGTTCTACAGAAGCTGGCGCTGATGTGGGCGTGACTGAGCGGAAGCTAAGGTCGGCTAAATCAAGATCGCCCGCATCTCCATAGAGCTGCTGCATGCGCGACGCATTCTTGGAGGTTGTGGAGGTTGCCTCGTCGCAGGAAGCGTCCTCAGCGGGATGGTACACAATGGCACGCTTAACTTCTTCGCGCGTCGTCTTGCCATGTCTGTTGCGCAGATGACGTTCGCAGTTGGCCTTGGTGGTAAAGGCGTAGTTGCAGACGGCACATTCGTAAGGACGGTCGCCGTTGTGGGTGCGCATGTGTCGTACCAAGGCCCCCTTGTCGCAAACTGCATAGGGACACATGTTGCAGCGGAAAGGACCGGCCGGACCCACAGCGCTGAGATGAACACGATTGTGTCCCTTTAAGGCGCGCAGATTGGGGAAGACGGCACTGCAGAGTTTGCAGGGGAACTCACCGCGCAGCTTCATCTTGCGAAATTCCGATGTGAAAGCGTCCTGGGCCTCCTCCTCATCCTTGCCATCCAAGCTGTATTGGCTGGAGGGCGTGTTGACTGTCTGCTCGAAGTTGCGCAGAAAATTGGAGGTGGATGACGAGCTGGTCATGTTCAGTATAGACTGTATGTCGGCCAGCTCCTTGCCATCTGGCTCGTACTTTATCTCGCCACCGCTGCCGCAAGCTCCAGTCGTAGCCGTGGCTCCATAGATTGGTGACAACATGGCCGCACTTTCGCCTGCAACAGCTGCCTTGTTCTTGAGGTAGAGTTGACGAAAGAAGTCTACTCGCTGTTCTGCCGCTGCCAACTCCTCATCGTCGACCTCCCCAACTCTATCAGCATCTACATTATCCTCCCTCTCACCATCGTCGTTCGCCTCATGCAATGGCGACGAACTGGCACCCAATAAAGGGGGCAGCTCCGACTCTGTCCCTGTCCCTGGCAATCCTCGGTGGCTGCAGGGATGTGCCATCAGTTGGCGATGACTGCGGAACACCACGTCACATTCGCGACATTTGGCAGATATATCCGCATGCGCCGCATCCATATGCGTACAAAGCGCGGGCAGGTTATCAAAGTCAGCGGCACCACAGGCCGGGCAGCTGAATCCCAGTCCCATACTCAACGACGCCTCGGCCGAAGAGTGTGTTGGAGAGGTAGAAGCACCGGCCAGCAAGGTGGCCACGTCAGGGGTGCTGGTAATGGCCACGTGAGCTGGCGAAGAGAGGGGCGTTGTAACGCTAGTAGCGGGGGTACCATCGCCGTCAGCTTCAATATCACCGTCCACATCGGAGTTAGCGCCACCGTCATCATCGTCAGCATCGGCATCGGCATCAGCGTCGGCGTCGGCGTGAACGTCCACATCCACATCCGCGTCGATTATGTTGTTGTTGATTGTGGTCTTCACGCGTCGCTGCTTAGACATGGCGGCTGCGTCGACGCCCTGCTGACGCTTTAAATTGCCAGCAATGTTGCTGCTGCTGTTGTTGTTGTTGTTGTTCGTTTTATGGCTGTCGTTGTTATTGTTAGTGTTGTTGTTATTATTGTTGTTGTTGTGCAGCTGCTGTTGCTGCTTTGAGCTTTGGCTATTGGTACTGGAGACATCCGTGGAGCAACTGCCATCACTCTCATAGCTTTCGCCGCCCCCATTGAGGCGCTGGGCACCCGCATTGGCACCCGCCGCCCCGGAACCATTTTTGGCGCCATGCGAATGACGTCGCTGCCCTTGGGTCGCTGTCGTCGTCGCCGCTGGCTGCTGCTGATGCTGCTTGTGCGTGCGCATGTGGCGATGCATGTTGCCGTTGGTGGTGAAGGTTAGGTGGCAGTACTTGCAGTTGAAGGGCCGCTCGCCAGTATGTACCAGCACATGCCGGTCCAGCGAAGAGGCAGACGATAGAACCTGCGAATGGAACGCGAGTTGATGGAAAAGCAAATGTGGGTTAGATAAGCAGTTAATGCGGGGGTGGGAGGGGTCTGAACCATTTACCTTTGAGCAAATGCGGCACGTGAAGTTCTCCGTATCACCGGAGGCGTAATTGTGGCAGCGAATATGATTTGTAAACTCATGTGGCGTGGCTGACACTACGTCGCAAATAGGGCACAAGTACTTCATGTGCTCATCGACAGCTCCAATGCCAGACTCGGCGCTGGAGAGACCATGAGGCGATGAAGCGCCTGAGCCGCCGCCACTGCTGCTGCTGCTATTACTGTGACTGCTACCAGCGCTGGGAGTCACCACTGGCGGCTTCACCGGGCCAGATGAAGCGGACGAGGCATTCAGCAAGTAGCCGCTATGGCCGCTGGCGTCCACAAAGCCTGACTCGGACAGCTCGCCGGCCGGAGTGGCATTGCTGCGGTTTAGTCTGAACTTTTTGCGCAACGAGCTCGCATCGCCACCACTGTAGTCTGCCACGATGCTGGCCGTGGCTGTACGCCCGCTGCTCCGACGCTGCTTGTGGCGCAGTCGCTGTGAGGTCTCGTCGCTGTGCGACAACACAGCCTCATGCTCCTCCTCATCGGAGAGCGGCTCCTGTGGCTGCTCGTCTTGAAGCTGCTGATGACGCAGCTTGCGCTTGCGTGACTGCTCGCTGCCGGCACTGCCGTTACCATTCGTGAGGTTGTGTGGCGTTGAGGTCGGCTGCGGTGCACCGCCGCTGCTGCTGAGCTTTTTCGGAGTGCGGCCCAAGTCTAGGTGCTCCAGCGAGGACTCTGAGGTGGTCGATTCGCGACGCTGGCGCTCGATGTTGGTCTCATCTTCGCGTGTGCTGCCTGTTGTTGTCGTTGTCTTTTGTGTCGCAAGCATCTTCGTTGTCTTTAGGATATGCTGAATGCTCTTGAGATCTTGTCGTCTTCTGTGGTCAGTTAGCTGCAACAAAATAAAAAGGTAACTTCAAATCGGGAACTCTAATAAAATCAATCCTAAAAAAACACCCACAAGACAAAACATTTTAATATTACATAAATATTTAAAGAACAATCAAGGCGAAATTTCTACCAATGGTTCCCCATGTCTGAACACATCTTAATTTTTAATGGTCACTCAATACTGGCGTCGCGACCAATGCAGTTGCTTAACCACGTGTCTGTGTGTGTGTGTGTTATTCGCGAGAGAGAGAGAGAGAGAGAGAGAGAGAGAACGCACTGCGTACTCAAGAGACAAAAGAGAAGTTCTTCACAGTGGTGCGAGATATAACGGAAAATGGGTCAAAACAAATTCAATAATTGCTCAAATATATAAATTAGGTTAATATATGTTTACATTCATACAAAAACAAATTGTTTTTAAATGTCATCAACAATTAATTTAGGAAACAGTTGCTGAAAAACAAAAATATGATTAATTTAATACTTACTCAAATGCTTAAAAACTTAAAATTGTGTGAATAAACTGTAAATTAACTTTAATATTATTATTTACTAATTAGCTATTGTTTTTTTTTTTGCAGTTTTCATATTTTGTGTCGTTTATGAAAACCTAAGCGATTGCAGTTGTGTAAACAATTTAAAATTTTTTAATTACAACTCATAACCCCTCCCTCTAGATTAATAAATGTCACAATAGTATGTTAAAAATTTGCAAAGCACTATTTTTGTGGGATTCACAAAAGAGTGGTAGTTTTAAATAAAATATTAAGCAGTTATAAGTTTGTTCACAAAAAAAAATCTGACAGAGGATACTTTCTCGGTACTTCTGCAAATGTTAGGCACAGTTTAAGAGTATTTGAGCAATATGCGAAGAATCAAACGTAATATTTACAATCAGGTTGCCAGAGAATGATGAACATGTAAACCTTCTGATAAAAGAAAGCCTAGCTGGAAATCTAATAAGAGGCAATGCGCGTCTCACTGTGCGCCTGTTGCAATGCCAGCCATCTGGCAGCACTGAGGCAGAGAGAAAGAGATAGAGCGACTGGGAGAGGGCAGGCTTGCAATAATGTGGGTGAGCATGAGTTTGTGTGTGTGTGTGTGTGTGTGCGTTAAGCAAATCGATTGCTTATCACATCTAACTGCGCGTCGTTGCTGTTATTGTTGCTGTTGTTGTAGCTGCTGCAAATGATGTGCGCATTTCATTTGTTTGTGTTAGTGGTAAATAATGCGGGATGGCATATTCATTACCGTTATCAATAACAAACCCTTGTTTTTAGTCGCTGCTCTCGCCATTGTCGCCAATTGGAAATCCTAAGCGGCCAGTCGGCCAGAAGGTATAAAACATACCTTGCCATTTGAAACTACACACGAGTTTGTGTGTGTGTGTGTGTGTGCTTGTGCATGTATATACGCACATATGTATGAATTTCAGCGATAAGCAGAGGCCAGTTATGTGCATGTGTATGTGTGCCAATATTGTAGTGGTTGTTGTTGTTGATGTTTTCGATTTGATTTGGTTGGCCTTCCATTTTGGTTGGCTGATTTCAATTTCGGCACCGCTGCCCCTACTGAGTCATGTGAAAAGTAGTGGGGCCCCGTTTGTGATGAATTTTGACGAGCAGCTCATTAAGATAAAATGCCAACCTCTCCCCCAACGTTCCACCACCCAACCCAAAAAAAAAAGTGCCAAAAATCACCAGCTAGCCAGCTAACCAGCCAGCCAGCCAATGGGCGCGCTCAACAGGAAATGGTCAAAGAAGAGAGTTAAAACAAATATCTCAACCAAACGATCTTGGCAACATTCCACCTTTAAATTATGAATAAATTCAAACATAATAAATCCCTAGCCAATAACGCTTTCCATCTCCTTCCCTTTCCATGCTAATTAATACGAACTTCACTGTTTTTGACCCGTTTTTTTTTTAAAGTGCATGTCAAAAATTAGAAGCGGCAATCGTTCTATCCCGAAAGCAACAGCTTTAAAGTTCAAGGTTCAAAGGGATAATTGTTTGCTCAGCCCGTTGCTAATGTGAGGACAGATAGGGTGAATGGAACCACCCCAGGCCCTGGGCACGATTCTATTAGCATTCAAACATAAACAGTTAAGTGGAAAGAATTGACCTCTATAAATTAACTGCAGTTTTTTTTTTTTGGCGATTTGAACTGATTACCAGCAACCGATTTTGATCAGATCAGTGTTGATTTATTTAAAAAACTGTTTTGTTTGCTTTCATATTATTTAATTCCTCAAATATGTTCCAGCAAATATGTAATGCTATATAGCCATCCCTCCATTGGAAACACTTGCGTATCAATTTTTTCTTAACAATTGGTGTATCAAATGATTTAGCTTTGAGCTGAAATTAATACTTTCAAATGTTTATACAAAAATTGGCATTTCTCGTTATTAAATGAATGAGTCCACCATTTATTTATTTATTTTCATTATAATTTCATGGATGCTGCTTAAATTTCAATAAACCACAAGGCATATTAAATTAATAGAAATATCTACGCTTGGGTCCAATTATAAAAAAAAATGTGATGCAAGTATCAAAATCGGCTGCCATTGAAAAGATCGCACAACAATAGAATTGCAGGAATTGAGAGAAACACAACAAATACAAGTATTGCATTGTCAAATCGTAATAACGTCTAAATTGAGGCAACTTTGCGGACTTTATATATCATAGTGGAAATGGAAACATTTGGTGGACAAATAGAATCCCAATCTTAGGAGCCGCGCTTATGAGAATGAGTACAAGTTTTGGAAGTACACAAACCTATTTATTTATTTTATTGCCTGATAATCCATGTTGTAATAATTTGAAATTGGGATTATTTGGGTACAAGTTTTGAAACTTCACAAACTCCACAAAGTTAAGAAATATTTATTCTCCCTTCTGATAATCCATGTTGTGATATTTTGCGCTTGAGAATATTTGGGATAAACATACTCGTATGTACAAGTTTTGAAACTTCACAAAGTCCACAAAGTTAAGAAATATTAATACTATATTTATTTATTCCTTCCCCTGATAATCCATGTTGTGATAATTTGAGCTTGAGAATATTTGGTATATATGTACATACTCGTATGAACAAGTTTTGAAACTTCACAAACTCCATAAAATGAAGAAATATTAATACTATATTTATTTATTCCTTCCCCTGATAATCCATGTTCTTTAATGAAGTCGTTGAAAGTTAATTTTTCACGTTGTTGAACAACTTTGGCCATAGGTCGCAAAACAAATTGGTTTGTTTATAAATCAGTTTTCCCAAAATTTAGTGTTGGGGCATGAACGAAAAAAAATTACCTTTTTTTATTGTTGTCAGTTGCGGCGGCATTCCGCACCACTCCAATTTGTTGCAACACACACAGATAGTTATTGATTGTCACTTTTGTCACTTCAGATGCCCACAGGAAATTGCTTTTTTTAAGCAGTTTAATATAATTTGTTGTTTTTTATTTTTATTTAATTTTTTGCATTTATTAAATAACACAATTTTTTGGAGGGGTTTATTCCTTGTGTGATTCTCCTTGAATTTAATTAATTGATTGATTGAGCGGTCATTGGATGTTTGCTCTTTCAATGGCTTCGCAATACATTTGCACTTCTTTGGTAGTTTTGAAAAAAATAAATAAAAAAACAGTTTTATTTTTTTTTTCTTGTATTTTTGTTTTCAAGCGCCGCAGATGCTTTCGCGTTGACGCGCACACGAGTTATGAGCGCAGCCGCTGCGCAACCGTTCGGCAGATGAAGCTCGACTGAATCGAGACGCCATCTACGAAGTTGTATTTATAAAAGCGTGGCTACGGCAGACAACGACGACAGCGACGAAGCAGCGAAGCGCACAGCCGCAGCAGCAGCAGCAGCAGCAAACATCCGAACTGAGAGAGAGTGCGCATTTATCTGAGCAGCGACGTTGACGACGGCGGCGGCTATGGCTGCCAAGCGAGTGTGCGCTTGTGTGCGTTGGAATATTTGTATGTGTATGTGTGCTGACTGGGCTGCTGCTGTTGCGGTGTTGGTGGTGGTTGTTGAGTTCATCGTACATTGGTATTGGTTAGATAAAAGTGCAGACGTTGACGTCGCTGCCCGTAAATCTTCTGCGCAAAGGAAGCAGCAGCAGCTTTGCTGCTTCTTCGTTGGATTTTTCTTTCGTTTCTTTTTATTTTTGGGCGCAAATAGGATTACTTGCTACGTGTATATGATTGTGTGGGTGTCTGTGTGTACGCATGCCGATTGCGTGCGTGTGGATGCGTGTGCCAGACAGAGCGCGCTATATGATCCAGCTGCCGTTGCCGCTGCCATTGCCATCGCCCCCCTCCCCCACTATCCCATTACTCCATCGCTGCCAGGAGCGGAGAATTGTTCTGTTTTTTTTTTTCTACATAGATTTTCTCTGCCTTCCTCCCTCTGTTTTTATGCATGTGCATGTATGTACATATGTATTTATGTGTATGTTATAATTACTTATGCATGTGTGCATATACATATGTATGTATGTATATGTTTCTTGTGTTGTGTTTACTGGATGCATTTTAGATTTGGTAAATCCCGTTGCTATTGGTTACTTTGCTACCCTCTGTGTTTTGTTACAATTCCGCTTATGTATCTTATTGTGTGTGTCTGTGTTATGTACTGTCGCACACACATTTGTATTTGCGCAGCATTTGATGCTTTCCACTGCTTTTATCCTGACTCAGCATTTTCAGCCCTGGCCAAGGCTGCCATTTTCAAACCAAAAAAGTCTTGTTGCAAAGATTTCTGTGAAAAATTGTAGCCTTTAATAATACCTTAATGCTAGAAGAAGTAAGAAGAAGAATAAAAAGCAGCCTGCAGCAGCAGGCTTGCTTAAACCTCTCAACCTTAACCTCAAACTCTAAAACTCAAACTCATCGGCGGAAGTGGAAGTGGATGAGGAGCAGACGATGGAGACGATCTGGCTGTGTCGAGGTGCAGCAGCGTCATCAACCGTCGTCACAGTTGACCGACCACCTCAAAGGTGTGCAAGAGCGCGCGCTCTCACCTCCAGAACCTCGTCCAGAGGTCAGTGTCAGCTGCGCTCCCTCGTCCGTTGCGGGCCCCGAGGCAATGCAAATGCAAATGCCTTCGTCAGAATTCTGATCTAATTGCGAGACGAGAAGACATTGCTCTCAACCCCTGGTGGTCGCCAGCATCGTCTTCGTCACTTTGTTATCATTCCCAAAGGTCGCTCGATCGGCCGCTGACCATTGACCGATAAATGGAGTGTGCGCGCGTTCCTTTTGCCATCAATACATATGTATGTACATAAGTATGTATGTATGTACATGTGTACATGTATGTATGTACATGTTGTTGTGTGCGTGGGCGCAACTGCAAGCCGTTTCAGCAAAAGCAACAGAAAAAAATTGCCAATAAGCACAGAAAGCAATTGCAATAACAATAACAAAAGGCAAAATGTGAGTTGTGGGCATACAAAATAAACATCAATACAAAATTGTGCAAAAACTGCAATAAGAGTTCAGTACACTCACCCACACACTCACACACCTACACACACGCACACGCACTCGCTCACATTCATATAGACAGCCAGGCAGGCAGACAGACACATACATACATACATACATATACATACATATACAGATATACAGATACACGTGGAAGTCGCCGCAATAATAAAAACAATAACAGCAACAATACAGCGTGCTGTTTGTATAAATTTAATAATATTTACGTTTTATTTATAATGAACTTGAAATAATTTACAGTGGTCTGAAACTGTTCAAACATGCACGCTAACTGAAATGCAACTGAAAGTTCGATAAAACTAAATTAACAATTATGTTAAAAATATGGGCGCGACATACCATAATCAAATATATGCACCACAGTACCATAATTCGTTCATTAACTACTGATTTTTTTTTTTTTAATCTTTCATAATTTTAGTGTTTTACCGTGAACATGTTGAGGATTTTAATTTGATTTGCTTGAAATTTGTATTAAACTCCGAAATATATTCGATAAATACCCCCAAATAAACGACGAATATATTCAGTGTATTAGTTTATACTACTTGTGATTTATACATACTTGTATATCTTGGGCTGTTAAATATGCTTTTATATTGGATAGATATTTTATTTAATGTTTACCCTCCTGACGAATTGTCAACATCTAGCTACTCATCTTTTTATTAGGAACTCTGTAGTCTTGTATGTTCTCTTTTCTTAGTATTAAAAGATTTTAATAAATCAGAGGAATACAAAATATAACTTATACATACAACATACATATGTATTACACATGTATGTACATATTTTTATATATGTACACATGTATTAGTTATAAAATATTTTATTAAAGCCAGATGTGGGGCATTCTTTACGTTGCATTTATTTAACTTTCTAGTCCTTTTTTAATTCACATTAAAATAAATCCTTCGTTCTTTTGGGCGGTACCTAGTGGGGTGCACCGTCGCGTAGGTGGTACGCCCCACTGTGCGTAGTCGCGTGGTGTGTGTGGGTGTGCATGCATGTGTGTGGGTGGGTGTGAGTGTTCTGGCACCGTGGCAGCGGCTGACTGGCGCTAAAATACAACAACAAAAGCAACCTGAACAGCAGCAACAACAGTAGCCGCACTAGCTAGCCGTACTGCGATGCGTGTTAAATACACATTAATGTTGTGTATTTTGTTGCCATATGCAAACAGCTGAGAAACAGTTTCAGTTTCGCTTTTCATTGTAACAACAACATGCACTTGTAGTGCTTGTTGCTGCTGTTGTTGTCATCCAATGAGTACGAAAGTGATAACAAACGCATAATTGTGAAAATTAATAAGCAGCAGTAGCAGCAGCAGCAACAACAACAGAGACATAACGTTGCCATAAACGCAGCAGCCAACAGCCAGCAGGCAGCAACTAACAATGGTGATGCATAACAATAACAAATGCGAGAGACATTAACATTTAATTACAAGCATTTAGTACACATTTAAATTTTCATAAAACAAATTGTAGCAGCAGCAGCAAATGCGGCAATAGGCAACACTGGCACGCATACAAACACACAAGCACTCCCACGCCTCTTTGTTGCAGACAAATACATACATGCATACATACATACACACATACGCATACCCCAACATTCAACTTTGACTTGCTGGCTTTGATGTGTACTGGCTCTCTCGCTCTCTCTCTCTCTGTCGCTCTCATTCGTTTGCAGGCGCTCTCAATCTCTTCCTCGCTTAACCTTTTGCATGCGTGGTTCTGCCTTTTGCAATGCGAAAAATTCACTTTCGTTTTTTTAATAACAAATACGAGTATGCATGTAATAATTGCTTTAATTTGTTATTGTCGTTGTTTGTTGTCTCGTATTTGCAATTTCGATGCGAAACATGCGCAGCGCGTTATGTTAATTCATTTAATAGGCGCAAAGTGTTGACGCTTTTGCCAGCTGTTGACATGTCAAGGTGAGCCCCCCTCCCACGCACGCACACACACACACAAATACGCAAACCCTCACACTTCTGCCTACAAACAAACATGCATACACACACACATTCATACATATGCCACTCTTACTCGTCATTGTTGATAAAAAAAAAAAAAATACTAAAACAATTTGTTGGCGCACGCCGCTTTCTGCCCGTTTACTTTTTAAACTTTGCACCCCTCCGTCAACCACAACAACAGCAACAAGAACAACAGTAATAACATTAACAAAAAGCAGGCGATCGGCGTGTTTAACAATAATAAACTTGGGCTAAACAAATGCCGTTTGTATGATTCAGCTTACAGTTTTTTGAGGAAAAGCCCGTTAGTTTGCGGGCAGTGTAAACAAAAAATGTTTGTTAGTGCGGTCGATCAGCCACGAACAATGGACAGTGGACAATGGCAAAGGGAAATCGGACACTGCATAATAATAATGTCGAGCCCCCACGACACTGGTACTGCCAAGCGTCATTCCAACTTGGCAAACTTCTGGGCCCATATACTAATACTTCTTCACAATATTTGTAGGCAAGTGGTCTGCCCAAGTCTGTCTTCCTTACATTCAAGGGAATAATCAAATTGTTTGTGCTAATGTTACATAATTGCTTAATTCTAGATGATATCACTGCTATTATGGGAATTATCTATTCTAAGAAAAAAGCAAGGGTGGCTGTTGGAGCGGCATGTAATTTTATGTATAAGATGTACAGTAATTGTTCGCAAATTACAGCCTCATATTGTACTTTCCAAACGGCTAAAAATAATTTTTTTTTTTTGAACTTAACTTGATTTTATAAAGTTTTAAATGAAAGTACTTTGAATTGCCATTAACTTTTGGTGTTTAAGAAAATATAGAAGGATAATGAACACTTGTGTTTTGTGTTCTACAAAATTTGTGTTTAAATGCGAAGTCTCGAAAGTACATAATAGGAGTATAAAAGAACGGAAAAAAAAAATTCTATTTTTCAATATTTCATTTTGTTGAAGTTGATGATCAGCTCCTGCTAGTGTATATACTTGTATGTATGTACATTAAATCGGTTTTCCAGTGCATTATTCACATTAAAACGCAACTTCACGTCAGTCAGCTCTAAACGG